CATCCTGGATCTTCTCCGGTCTCATGTTCATAAGAAGAACGAGGGAAGAGAAGGGTAATATTACTAAGGTGATGGGTGTATCTACGCGTTGATGAGCTTCTCCGAGATCGAGAGCTGCGCCTGCGTCAAGCTCGAGAGGTACGAGACCATGAGGAGGTCCTGCATGCCGTTGTTGAAGATCTGGTCAAAGACATCGGCGCGCATCGGCGGGATCGACGCGACAGCTTCCGCGAGCTCACGGCCGAGCTTGGGGTTGGCGGCCTGCTTGCCAGCAACAACATCGCCGACGTACGCAGCGCTCGTCGCAAGGAGTTCGTGAAGGCGAACGATGGCCTGCTCGAGGGCCTCAAGGTCCGACGGCAGCGACGCCGCGCTCGACGAGCGCTTGGCCATGACGTCGAGCGCGATCGACTCGGCCTCGTACGTCTTGGTCTCGACCTTGACCTGCTTGAACTGGTTGGCGAGCGCGACGTCGGCGACCGAGAGCGCCGAGCTGATGAAGCCCATGATGTTGAGGTTGTCCGACTCGAGCGACGTGTCGACGACAACGTGGACGGGCGACGCGCACTCGGAGCTGTAAAACTCGTGGATCAAGCACGAGTTCTCGTTGATGGCCTCGGCGGTCGTCGACGTCGCGTACCAGCCGACAACGACTTCGTTCGGGTTCACGCGCTGGTGCAGAAGCAGCATCTGGCGGTGGTAGTCCTTGCCGACCGCGACCTCGTCGCCCTTCTCGAGGTGGGGCACCGGGAACGAGTTGGAGATGGTCACGACGCCGTGCTCGGCGTCAACCACGCCGAGGAGCGTACCGATCACGCGCTTCTGGTCTTCGCCACGGCGGAGGAAGCGGTCGAGGATCTGGAAGACGACGACCGGGTGGACGTGGACAAGGGACACGCCCTCCGTGTTCAGGACCAAGCTCATGCTGCAAAAGACGATGGGAAATGGACCGATGCAATCCAGTCATTTCGGCGCCGGTGGCAGATTCAAAGGCCATTGGCCACAAAGCATGGCAATTGGGACGTTTGATTGGTCAATATGTTGAATTGTCGCCTTGCACCGGGCATTTCAGCCAATCCTATCTGCTTGTGGACCGCCACATAAAATGCTATTTGTGGCAGACACCAATTTTAAAGCTACCCAGCAACCCCAGCACCACTTCAACTACAACATCGTACAAAGTTAGTAGTCTGCTTCATTCTCACAGGCATTGACTTTATTACATTTGCATCGGTTTACTCGTCGTCCTTGACGATGGGCTTGGCCACGTCGAGACCGCCGAAGAGCGGAGCATCGCTGGCGACAGTCGGCGCCGCCACCGAGAGACCACCAAAGAGCGACGCCGGCTCTGGCGACGCCACTGTTAGCGACCCAAAGAGCGATGCCGGCGCCTCGCTGGAGAGTGCGAGACCCCCAAAAAGCGACGGGGCCGCGACAGGCTCGACGACTGCGGGCGTTGCAACGACGCTGCCTTCGTCACGAGTGACGCCGACTTCGTCATGGACGGCGCTGGCTTCGTCGGCATCCGCGGCGCTCTCGTTGGTAACAGTGTCTACGGTGTGCATCTCGGTTTCTTCAACGGCGGCGTCGTCCGTCTCCTCGACGACCAGAGGTGTAGTAGCGACGTCGCTCGACTCTGGTTCACTCGCGACACCCTCGTCGAGCGGCGCAACAACAGGGGCGAGCATCTCGTGCGCGAGCGTCGTCGGGGCCGCCAAGTCGATTTGCTCGACGACCGCCACGGGCGACGACGCTGGCTCCATGTAGATCTCCTCGACCGCCGACATGGGCGTGTCTTCTTGGGCCATGTACGTATTCTCTTCTTCTTCCTCGTCATGTGCAACGTCATCCACTTCGTCATCGTCCTCTTCATCCACTTCGTCCTCTTCATCCACTTCGTCCTCTTCATCGTCGTCCACTTCGTCGTCGTCCACGTCATCGCTGGCCGACGGTGCGTCCGACGGCATGACGTAGTCGCCGCCCAAAAGCGCTTCGTCCGCCGGCACACTCTCTTCTTCGACCTTGGTCTCGGTCAAAGCGTCCGCTGACGCTTCAGTGGGGGCAGCGACGACGAGACCCCCAAAGAGCGAGCCGCCCGTGGCCACCGGCGCATCGGTCGACGCCAAGTTGAGCCCCCCAAACAAGCTCACGGGCGCACCAGTCGGCTCGGTCGTCGTTGGGGCAATCGAGAGACCACCAAACAAGCCGACCGGTGCTGGGGCTGCGTCCGTCGTCGTCGGGGCAAGCGAGAGACCGCCGAAAAGCGACGGAGCACTCCCTGCTGGCTCCGTCGTCGGGGCCACCGAGAGACCTCCAAAGAGAGACGTCGGAGCCGCCGGCGCTTCCTCCTGTTGGACGGCAACTGGTTCGTCGCTGGCGACCGGGGCAGGCTCAGCAGCCACAGGAGTCGGCTCAGCCACGTGCACCGGCGACGGAGCGTCCTGCGTCTCGACATCGTCGTTGTCCGAGTCTTCGTCGTCCGAGTTGTCTTCGACCAAGTGAGAGCTTTGCACCGAGAGGCGGCGCGGCGGCACGTCTTCGTCGTCCGGGAGGTTGGCAAGCGTCAGCTGGAGGTCCGTCTTCTGCGTCTGCGCGGCCACGAGCTCCTCGTCGAGCGCCGCCGCGAGTTCGTACTCTTCTTCCGCCGTCGCGTTCTCAATCTGCTCGGCGAGTTGCTCAATCTTGTGCTGCAGCGCCTCGACCTGCTTGTGCATGTCGTTGGCGTTGAGCTTCTCCTTGAGCTCGCCTTCCTTCTCTTCGACCAAGTGCAGGCGCGCGTTCCACTCTTCGAGCTCGTCGTCGAGGCGCGCCGCAAGCTCATAGTCTTCGTTCTCGGTCGCCTCGTCGATCTGCGCTTCAATCGACGCGATCTTGTCCTTGATCGCGTCGCTCGTCGTTAGGTCGCCGACGGTCGCGGCCGAGACCGACCGCGCCAGCGGCAGCGCGGCGTTGGGCGATTCGGAAAAACTCGCCTCCGCGGCCAGCGACTCGACGTCGTCGTCGTCGTCCTTGACGCTCTCGTCGTCCGTGGGTTCCGAGAGCAAAACGAGCTCCTTCTCGGGCACCTCGGGCGGCAGCTCAGCCACGTGCGGCTCCAAATTGTACTTGTCTTCGAGCGCCTCGATCTCCTGGACGACGGCCGTAAACTCCATTTGCACCAAGGTGAGCGCAACACCGCGAAAGTCGACGCTCTCGCCGTCACTCGTCGACCACTTCTCGCCGTCGTACTTGGCGAGCTGCCGGAGCGCGCTCCGGAGGTCGACGTGCACTTGGTACAGCACGTCGAGCCACTCAAGGTCCAAGTTCTTCTCGACGTCGCGGAGCTCGTCTTGCTTGGCGTGGAACTCGTCTTCGCGCACGTGGATCCGGTCGTCAATGTCCTTGATCTCCATGCCCAGAACGTCAATCTGCTCTTCGGCCGTCGCCCGGTCCTTCTCGAGCTGCTTGATGTCCTTCGAGAGCCGCGCCGCCTCCTTGAAGTTGCGCTCGGCGGCCGCTGCCTTCTTCTCCGTCTCGAGCTGCGGCAACGTCGTGCCGGCCGTCATGATGACCGTGCGGTTCGTCTGCAGCTTCTTCTTGAGATCGTCGAGCTGATGGCCGAGGAGCTTGAACTGCTGCTCGGCCGCCTGCGCCGCCTCGCGCAACGCGTGCAGCTGCGTCTCTTGCTTCTTGACGCGGGCGTCGCGCGCGTCCCGGCGCGCGTTCTGCTCGTCCGTGAGCCGCACCATAATGGTCGCGATGCGGACTTCCTTTTGCACACCGAGCACGTCTCTTGCGAGCTGGCTCATCTCGGCGCTGTAGCTCGCCTTCTTGGCCGCAAACGCCTCTTGCTGCCGCCCGAGCGCCAAGTCGTCCGCTTCGATCTCCTTCTTCGTCTTGAGGATGCCCTTCTCACGCTCGACGAGGCGCTTGAGCTGCCGCGCAAACTTGTGCCGGACGACTTGGATTCCGGCGTCGGCGGTCGCCAGGCCCGCGTCGATCTCGGTCACGTGCGCGCGCGCCGCCAGGAGCTTGGCTTCGAGCTCGGCAATCTCGGCCTCGACGCTGGCTTTCTCGGCCAAGAGGCGCGTCTGGGCCTCGGTCTCGGCCGTGCACTGCGACGCTATCGACGACTCGATCTCGTGCTTCTCGCCCTCGAGGTGGCCCATGTTGACCGTCACGTGGTGAAGCTCGGTTGCGATGCGCTGCTGTTCGAACGCAAAGCGGCGGCGCTCGGTGGCCTTGTACGCCTTGGCGGCGGCCGAGAGCTCGGCGTACGCGGCCGACCGGTCGTCTTCGCACTTTTGGATGCCTAGCAGCACGCCCTTTGTCGTGCGCACGTGGTGGACCATGAGCTTCTCGCGCTGCTTGGTGATCGCCGCGAGGTCCGTCTCGGCCTTGCGCAAGTCGCTCTGCGAGAGCATGATGCAGTGGCGCACGCTGCCGATCGTCGTGTTGAGCGCGTCTGCGCGCTCAAAGTCCTCGTCTTCGGCGGCCTGGAGCTGCTGCGCTTCGACCGACTGCAAGTCGAGCGCATATTGGGCGAGCTGGCGCGACAGCATCGCCTTCTTTTCGACAAGACGCGCGTCTTCTTGAGAGAGTTGCACGATCGCGTCGCGAAAGCTCTTGGACGTCGCGTCGTAGTCGCGGATGAGCTGCACAAGGCGACCTTCGGGGGTCACGGGCGCAACCACCGGTGGCTGGCGCGACGACGGCCGTGGCGCCGCCGGCGATACGACGAGGCTCGGGCGCGGACTCGGCGTGCTCTTCCGGTGCACGGGCGTCGCCGCCGCTGTTGTTGTGGGTGCTACTGTCGTCGGTGTCGTCGTCGGCATGGACGTTTGGACGGGCGGCGGCATCGCGTATCCTGCTGCGCCGGGCCCGACGTTGACGATCGTGAGTTGGTCCAAGAGGCCGCTGAGGCTGTCGTTGGCCGAGCTGTACACAGCAACTGTCAGCATGTCATAAGCGAAAACAAGTTACCTCGACGAACGCGCGGTTGTTCGCGTTGGTGTCGTGCCAGTGCGGCCGGTAGATGCACGGTGGAGTCGGCCGGGGACCTCGGGCATGACGGGGTTCACGGTGAGGCCGCTCAGCACCGAGCCACGCGACCGTCCATCGTCGTCATCGTCTCCGCGCTGCGAGCCCGTGTCTTCGGAGCTCTGCCGGTCAAAGCCAGGACGGAACGATGGCTTCTTCTTCTTCTTGATCGGGGCCGGCGCGGGAATCGGCATGGACGCCGCGGGTGTCGACGAGACGTCGGTCGGGGCGACGTTGAGGTAGTTGAAGGTTCCTGGGCGCGGCGCGCGCTGCTTCTGAACAGGCGGCTCGACTGCGGCTGGCGTGGGCGATGGCCCAGAGGATAGGTTGAGGCTCAACGGCGCTTGTGCTGGGGCCGCCGAGCCGCCCAAGTCGAGGCCGTTGAACAGGCTTGTGGGCTTTGGTGCGTCGACAGGTGCAGCTGCTGCGTCGGGTTGCTTCATGTGCATGCCGCCAAAGAGCGATGGCGGTGCGGGCGATGGTGACGTGGCTGATGGATTGCGCTGGTACGACAAGAGCGACGGGGCGTACCCTTGCTGCGGCTGCTGCGCCGGCGGCGGCGTGACGCCGTAAGATGGCTTCGACTGCCCCGTTGACGGCGACGTGCTGTACGAGGCAGGGTTGTTTGGGTTCGAAAAGCCAGCGGCTTTGGCCGCGGTCGGGGGCAGGTTGAAGAAGCCGCCACCGCCACCGGGTGCTGCGTCGCCAGCCGCCGAGCGGCCCCCGCCAGTGGCATTGGGAGGGCGCGTGGACTTGGCGGCCTCGTCCTTCTTGGTACCGGTAAAGAGTCGACCAAGCATGCAGTCGTGCTTCGATCTTCCTCGCAGAGCCTTGAGTTGTTCCCTCCGGCCGCTGACTTATCACGGTACGGATACAAGCTACATTATCCGGATGCATTCTGGGAACGATCTAACGGAGTAAATAGTGTGAGAGTAGCTATACGTCTGCGGCCAGCATCCGACACATCACATGGCAGCGACGCGTGGCGCTCCAAACGACCTGCACTACACTTTTACAATTCTGTGGCACATCGCCCTCGGTCAGCAGCACAACTCCCTCCAAGTCGATCAACGTTGGTCCGATGGCAAACCTCAAATCGTGTTATTACACTATATACGAACTGTAGCGTCGAGCGTTGGTAATGCTCGAGTCGCCTTGGCGCCAACAAGCGCGCTGGAGTACCAGTCCATGGGCTCGACTACAACTGTAGCAATCGCCCGGAATTAGCCCCTCTTACTACGGCCGTTCTGTGCTAGAGCCTCTTTCCACGAGGCAAATCAACGGGAACATCAAGTGCCTTTGTATGTATTTGCTGTTCACACATGCGTCGGGCTTGGGATGGGCTCGTACGCGTGCTGGCGCTTGGATCGACGCAAAATGCGCAGCACTACAAAGCTCACGAGCGCAGCCAGCGCCAAGAGGCTAGCAGACCACATGACATGGTGCGCGAACCGGTGGTGGTGCTTGTGCTGGTCGTGGAACGGAATGTCTTCGTTGGCCGCAAAGGTTTCTGTGAGGATCTGCGAGTGGTTCCAGCCACCATGAGCGCGCGAGGGCACCGACCCGTTCGGCGGATGCTGATGGTGGTGGTGATGCTGATGGTGGTGGTGGTGCTGATGGTGGTGGTTGTGGTGTAGCCAAAGAGCCATTGCGGTGGATGACTGCTGTCGGTGGTGTCGAATATCAGAATGAGCACGCGAAAAGGAACGCGCCGGGTGAATGCACTTGTTGTCGGACTGACACGCTTTTCCGTAGCACGTGGCAGCGGTTGCGCCAAAGATCGCGAACTTGGTGTTCAAGTTCCGTCTGCGATGGACATACAAGCAAGGAACGTGTGTAGATTCTGAACTTGGCATTCGCTCCTGATGATGCGGTGGTCCGCTCGTCAGTCTTACCACAGGCCGGACAACGAGCAGTGGCAATTCACCTGAAATCGTTTTTAGGTGCTGAGCACAAGGTGCAACAAGCGATAAACGGCAAGGCTTTCCACCCGCTTGGCCCGTTCGGTCGCTCAAAGTCACGTAGGCTCGTCACGCAGTCAAGCGCGTGTTGATACCGGTTGGAGTGTACATTATGTGTGTTTACGCCTCATACAGCGTGGAGTGCTAGTACGCGAGAGCTGAGCAAAAGTCGCTTTCAACCCTTTGATTTGATGCCTGTTGAACACGCCGCAACCAAGGGAAGACCACCGGCGCGACCAAGATCGACTTTTGGTCCCCTTGCCTTCCTCAAGACCGCACAAGTCGCACAATGTCACGATATCCTTGCACGTAATGTGCCCCGAAGAAGAGATACCTCATGTCTTGGTCGCCCCTTGCGCTGTAGCGACTCGCTCTGGAGGTGCAAAAGACGAAGTGCATCACGCTCATGTCCCGAACTTGACAAATATGCATTTTGGCACCGCACCTATTTGAGCCAATCATACGCGTTTGTGGGAAAATGCAGGATTTTAGCCAATGGCCTAGCGCGAGGTGGTTGGTCGCGAGCAGCAGGACGTATTCCAAGTTTGGTCAAGACGACGATGCTGCGCCGTGTCCTTAGCGTGCCCGCGCCCTTCGCCGCCCGGTGCATATCCTCGACGCCGATCGCCTATGGCATCGTCAAGCAGGAGGGCGTGCCCAACAAGCAGAACATGGCCAAGCGCGCGATGCCCGAGAAGCTCGACGGCACGATCGACCAGTTCTTCCCGACCATGTCGGTCCTCGACGGCAAGCCCGTGAAGCGTGTCGCGCCTGTCGTGGGCGGCGACTGGAAGGCGTGGATGCTCCGCAACAAGTCGACGGAGGATCTGCACAAGCTGTGGTACGTCTTGCTCAAGGAGCGCAACGCGCTCTTGACCGAGCAGGCCGAGTGCAGCTCGCGCAACCTCGCGTTCCCGAACCCGTTCCGCAAGTCCAAGGTGCGCAAGTCCATGGCGCGCATCAAGCTCGTCTTGCACGAACGCAGCCTCATCCACCAGGCCAACCTGGCCGCGAAGCAAGAATAGACGCACGCGATCACGTGCTTAGGACAGACGGTGGACGTCGGTAACTTTTTTCGTTCACAATACCGACGCTGCTACTACGTCGTCGACTTTTGGGTGCGCCGAGCGCAGCCGAGACGCAAAGAGGAACGCGTGGAACGTCGACTGCCGCAGCGCCACGAGCTCGGCATGCGACTTGTTGGGCCGCGAGATGAAGCGGAGGCCCATGCGCCCTGTCGTCGGGATGCTCGAGGACGTGAACATCGAGTAGATGCTGAGCCCGAGCTTGATGCTGGCGTCGTCGAGCTTGATCAAGTCGAGTGGGTCGTTGGAGATCATCTCGACGAGCGTTCGCACCAGTACCTAGAACACAGTTAGTTATATATCCCTCTACTCTCATGGCTGTTGACGTACCCGATTGTCCCATTCGGTCATGCCCAGGTCAAACTCCATGTCGACGTTGAGCGGGTTGAGTGTGTTGAGGTATCCAAGAGCCGTAAACATCTAAACGCACGTCACTTTGCATATTCGCCATCGACTGCGCCTACATGTTTGCGGTCGGCGGGCAGGAGCTTCTCGTACACCACGTCAAAGTTCTCCATGTCAAAGATGTAGCGGTGCGCGGCCAAGACGACCTACTATTGCTTCCAAGTTGCTTGCTTTCACTGGCGTATGTACCTTGAGCCGGAGGCCGTCGACGGTCGGCGGAAAGTACTGCATGATCATGCGCACGTGTGCCGTCTTGACAAAGGTGCCGGCGAGAGCGTGCTGTAGTAGAAGCACTTGGCGCTTCATGTCGAGGCGCTTGTGCGATGGCACATAGTCGGACGAGAGCTCGGCGTGTATACGCTGGAGCATTCCGTTCACCGCGCTCTCGTCGACGACGACGACGGTCTCCTGCGTGTCTTCGGGGCGCGTCGTCGAGACATAGTCAAACTCGAGCGTGCCTTTTGTCGGCAGTTTATCGTAAAAGCGGTCCGTAATCTACAAGACAATTTGTCATTTTGTATGTTGGTGTAGACCAAAAGGTACCTCGATCGCATGGCCGTTGAACTTTTCATTGCGAAAGTTGCTGAAAGTGCCGCGCTGGCTCGTGTTGCCACGTAAGCGCGGACAGACGCGCATGCTGCGGCTGGCCTCGGCGCGGTTGAGCATCGCGAACCAGAGCGCGAGCTTGCGGTGCACGCGGTTGGCCAAGTCGAGCGTGTAGCGTCCTGTCGGGTTGTCCGGATTGAACTGCAGCACGAGGACGCCATGGGATGCAAGGAGACGGTTCATGTTTTGGAAGCTCAAGTGCGCGAGCAGAAAAGACAGAATGCCGCGCCCGTCCACGACCGTGTGCAAGCTCCTGCCGCACTGTGAGACAAAGTGCGCACGGCGTGGGGCATACCGCGCGAGGATCTCAACGACGTCGAGCGCGCTCTGGAGCTGCGTCACGATGAGCTCAACGTGCGTGAGGCTCAAAAACATGTCAAACGTAGCGATCTAGACAAAGTGTCGTCGACGGAGGCGCCAACGCCGTGTACCTCGAGCATCGCACACATTTCCCGCGTCGAGATGCGGTCCTTGATAACCTTGACGACGTTGGCGAGGCCGTCGGTCGTCACGTACGCGCTCACGCCGATCGTCGGCGGCACAAAGCGCGCGGCGACGTGCAGCAAGCCTTGCTTGGGCGTTATCGCAAACACGCTGCCGCCGCCTTTGCTCACGAGCGCCTTCTTCGTCGCGTCAAACTCGAGGTCCACTTTGGTTTTGCCGCCGTCGGGCGAGAACCACGCCTCGTAGAGCTCACAGCGGGCGCGGGCCGCCGCGGTCACAAGCTCGCACGCAATGACATAGTGGTACGGGGACTGCTTCAGATCCAAGCTATACGGAGACTGCGCCGACGGCAACATTGCGTCAAACACGTCCGAGTCCTACGACGTTCTCATCGCCAAAGGGACTCGTGATATGTCATCGTACGTTGCTGTCGCGAAACGAGAGGCCAATGTCGCACGCAATGCCCGACGCCACCGCGTGCAAGAGCGCCTTGGTGCCCGTCGCGCCGAGGTCGTTGTTGAGGAGCCCGAGGCGCGTCAGCGTTGTATTGTGCTGCACGGCGTAGCTCAGCGTCACGGCGGCGCGCCCCGTGAGGTTGTTGCGCGAGAGGTCGAGGGTTTGAAGTGTCTTGTTGTGCAGCAGCGCCGACGCAATCGCGTGGCCACCCGGGTCACCAAACCGGTTCATCGAGAGGTTGAGGTTGTGGATCGATGTGTTGGATTCGAGCGCGCGCCCGATGCGCGTCGCGCCCTCGAGGCAGATCTGGTTCCACGACAAGTCCAGATCCCTGCACACAATCTGAGATGCCATTTAGTACATGCAGCCATACTGGATCGTGCAACTGGTCGCAGCCAGAGTTTCGCCGAGGAGAATGCCGCCGGCCTCGCCAATCTCGTTGCCAGAGAGGTTGACGACGAGCAGCGACGGGTGAATCGCGATTTCGATGGCGAGGGCGTCAATCGCGTCCAAAAGACGCGTTTTAGACAAGTCCAAGTCGGTTAAACTCGACGCGGCAAAGAGAAAGTCGGCCATGTGCACGCAGCCTTCCTTGCCAATCTGCGAAACTACCATTTAGTCTCAATGTTTCAATATATCAAGCGCACCTCGTTTTCGCTCAGATTGAGCTCGCGGAGCTCCTTGCGTCCGTGGAGCAGCTGAAGAATGACCGAGACTGCGGCTTGCGTGAGCCGGTTGTCGGCAAGGTTGAGAGCGTAAATCGACGGCAGCGAGGCCAAGCTACGCTTCATTTTAAATGCAGCAACGTGGGGATGGAAGCGCAACCTCTTGGCGAGCGCAATGGCTTTGGTGTCCCCGAGCCCAAAGTGGCGCAAGTCGAGCGCTCGGTCCGAGCTGATGCGCGCGAGGAGCGGCTCGGGTAAGATCTGCTCGTTTGCGCACTCGTCAAAGAAGAGAGTCCGGGGCGTGACGCTGTCGACAAACGTGCCAGGCGGGAGCTTCTTCTTCGTGGGCTTGGGCAAGACCACGCGGCCGTCCAGAAGTATTGGCACCTTGTGGTTTCGGCTGTCTTGGAGCTTGGCCCACTTGGAGAGGAGAACGTGCTAGTACGCAATGGCGGTGCTTGCCTCCTCTGCAGCATTTGACAACACCAGACATACCTTGTCCGAGTAGAGCGCGGTCTTGCCGGCCTCGGTGGTCTGCTTCGCGAGCGCTCGTAGCTTCCTACGACGATACTGCTCGATGACGAAGCACGCAAGACGCTTGCTTGCCGTCGCGTTTTGCCGGTTCGCTGAATGTCATAATGCACCTACATCCTCTTGATGAGCGCAACGAGCGTGTGAGGCGGCATTCGTCGTACAGTGGTCGAGCCACTGCTCTCGCATTCGTCTGGGTCCTGCACAAGGTACTAGCATACTATGAGGCTCTGCGAGTGTGGGACACGGCGACAGACTGCGGTGGGCCGACGGGCGATCGCATGGCGTCGCTCGAGAGGTGACGGCTCATGCGGTCCATCGGGCTCGACAGTCACCAACTAGTCATACGCGATGACCGCCACAAACGTCATAGGAATGCGGCGACGCACGGGCGAGCGGAGCATGCACTCGGCGACTTGGAGCTTTCGGTCAAAGTCCCAGCGTGTCTGCTCGGCGTCGGTGAGGCGCACGTGCCCGGCGACCGCGTCGGCCTCGGACGTATTCTGCGTCTGCTTCTTGGCCGTCCACTGCAGTCGAGAGACATGCAGCCGCGCCTCGTCCGTCTCGTGGCCCTCGAGGTTGAGGCTCGGGTACTATGCACGATCTCAGCTATAAGGTGCTCGATGTCGACCAACCATAAACTTGGCAATGTCATCGACAACGACGCTCCATTCGTTGGAGGCCGTCGAGAGCGTCGCCAGTTTGACGTTGTGCGTCGGGAGGCGCGTCGGTGCCTTCTGCTCCGTCGCGATTGCCGTGGTCGTCACTGTCGACGCGCGCGCCGTCACGTCCTTGGCGCGCTGGGCATGCTTGGAAAAGATCGGCTTGAGCTTGGCCAAGCACGCGAGCCCGAGCTTCGAGTTGGGCTGCAGCTTCCCCAAGATGCTCTCGGACTCGGGTTCGGTCTTGGCGCGGTGTCCCATGAGCGTTTCGCCAACTGCTGGGATCGACATGCAGAGTCCCAGTGAGCTCATCTCGCAGCCTCATACAGTAGCTACAAGGACGGCGCGTGGAGCTACCGACGCCAATGATCTAGCAACCCAAGCCGACCAGCTGCACGAGACAGGCCGTTGTGGTCTACAGACGTAGGGTCTTCCAGGTGTAGGGTTCCGCGGTGGAGACGGAGATCGAAACAAGAAGCATATGAATTACGGCAAGGAGACTTAGTGGTTGAGCGTCTGGACGAACTCGTAGAAGGCAAACTCGGGGCAGTTGAGGCCGCACGAGTAGACGAAGCGGCTCGCAAGCTGCGACGCAAAGAGCGCGCGGAGGTACGACTCGGGGAGGCGCTTGAGGAGCTCGTCGTACGCGATCTTGGCCTGGAGCGTCTTGGGGAAGCCGTCCTTGAGGATCACGTCGCGCAGCGCCTTTTGTTCGTAGAGCGACGAGTCCTGGATCGTGACGCTGAGGTCCGTGATGCGCTCCGAGAGCAAGTTGGTCAGAATCGCATACGGCGTCGGCGTGCGCTGGTGCTCGCGCCAGAGGCATTCGAACTCCTTGGTCGCGTTGTTGTCGATGCGCGTCTGGACTTCGGCGACGTACGCCTGGTAGAACGCGGGCTTGGGCTTGCCGGCCTGGACGGCCATGTGCTCGCCAAACTCGGCGTCAGTCATCGAGAGCGCGGCCATGACCTCAAGCGACGACGAGGTGACACCGCCCTTGTTGGCCGACGCGTCCTTGAAGAGGACGACACCGGCCTTCTCGAGCACGAGGCGCGCGTCCTGCGTGAAGAAGAGGTTGGCGCCTTCGACAATGTACTTGAAGCGGAGCGTCTTGCCATCGGCTTGGTACATGAAGTTGGTCACGTTGCTGAGGTTAACCGCCGCCGGGCGACCGCCGCAGGGGACGAAGAAGTCGGCCGTCACGTCCGACCGGTTGTGGAAGTTGTTGCGGAACTGCGTGCCGTTCTCGACGACCTCGCCCGACGGGAGCTTGAAGTCGTTCTGCGAGATAAGGACAAGGTACCCGTCCTTGGAGAGGAGCGCCTTGTTGAAGCCCTCGACCGGCGACCGGGCCTTGGCGAGGCGGACAAGCTCGGCGCGGTTGATACCGTTCGGGTCGTAGAGCACACCGGAGCCGTCGACGACCGCGATCGTGTCTTCGCCCTCGCTCATCAAGATTTCGTTCGAGCCGAGATCACCGTCCGGGCCGCCGGTCTGCACCTTGGTGAGGCGCTTGGCTCCCGGCGCCTTGAGGTTGAGCTTGGCTTGGATGCCCGTGACAAACTGGCGCACCGAGTGCGTCGTCATGCCGTACTCGTCGTGGGGAATACCACCGCGCGACGGCGACTTGCCCGTCGTGATGGCCTTCCAGTACGAGTAGCCGCGCGACTTGGCGTACGACGACGCCCAGTCCATGAGGTGGGCCGTGCCCTCATCCGGCCCAAGGAAGAGAATGTCTTCCTGGGCGCGCACGATGCCGTCGTTCTCCGGGAGCATAATGTCGAGGAGCGCGTCAATGTACTTTTTGAACGCGAGGTCGGCCTTGTCCTGGTGCGCGAGGTTGAGGAGCACGACGCCCTTCGAGCCGCCTTCCGGGATGTCCTTGTTCTTGCGCTGCTGCGTCGAGGCGAGGCCGTAGCCTTCGTCAAAGCACGACGAGACGTTGTTGAGGTACACCTGCGCGTGCGACGAGCGGATCATGCGGATACCGCCGCGCGCAATGTCGAGGAAGCGCGTGTGGAAGCCGCGGAACTCGGAGCCGATGACAAAGATGACCGCAAACGGCTTCTCACGGTACTCGGTGGACGGGAGGAACTCGCCGTCGAGGCGGAACGCGAGCGCCGACTTCTGCTTGCGGAAGAAGTTGGTGTGCTGCACGTGGTGGTTGAAGGCCACAAACTGCGAGAAGACCGTGAGCGCCTGCTCGGACGAGACGGCCTTGCGCAGCGCCGAGAGCGTATCGGCGCGCGTGCGGTTGCGGTTCTTGCTCGACGGCGAGTGGAGCGCCTCGAACTCTTCGTACAAGGTCTTGACGAGCGCCGGCGACGCGAGGATGTGGTCGAGGATCTGGGCTTCCGTGAACGTGTTCTGCTTCATCGCCGAGCGGAGCTGCTCGAGGCGCGCGAACGCGACCGAGTCGCGGTCACGGAGCGAGTCCGAGACGACCGAGTACGCCTCCGGGAGACGCTGGAGGAAGTGGAACGTGAACTTCCACGCGGCGTACGCGTACGAGATCTGCTGCGGCGTCAAAAGGTGGTCGCGGAGCATCGGCGAGAGCGACGTGCGCGGGAGCACGTAGTGGAGCGACGCGTCCGACAAGCAGGCCGCGACGCGCTCCTCAAAGGTGCCGGAGCCCTTGGCGTTGCACTCGAGCTGCTGGAGGTAAAAGCCGTACACGACGTAGCCGTTCGAGAAGTACTCGGCGTACTTGCGCGACGAGAAGAGGCCGTGGCCACGGTAGACATCGGCGAGCGACGAGAAGTAGCTGTGCGTCGAGCCGGCCTTGAAGCAGACCGTGAGGCGCGCCATCTTGGTGTTGTCGGGCTCGAGCCACACTTCGGTGTGGAACGCCGGCGTCATCTGGCTCGCGGCCGTCTTGAGGACTTCCTGGTAGACCTTCTTGAGGTTGGGGCCCGAGCGCTCGAGGAAGCTCTTGTCCGCGATCTTGTTGATGTCCGTCTCGCCTTCGACCGGGTTGGGCACGACAAAGTCGGGTTCCTGGAGGAAGTAGAGGCGCATGTGCGACGGCACGAGCTTGGCATCAAGCACACCGGCCGAGCGGTAGCACTGGAGGCGGTACTGGCGGATCTTGGCGGCCTCCGTCTGCTCGAGGTGCTGGTAGCCCGTCTTGACACCGTCGCCGATGCACTCGGTCGACGAGTTGAGGTACTCCTTCTCGATGAAGCGCTCGAGGTTGGCGACCTCGTTCGAGTTCATCGTGCGCGTCGTGCGCGTCTCGTCACCCTGCACGTTCGAGCGCGTGGCAAAGAAGGCCGACTTGGCGTTCTCCTGCACGAGCTTGAACTCTTGGTCCTGGCCAGACGTCTTGGTGAGGATCTTGGCCGCGAGGAGCGACTTGATGTGCGACGCAATCACCTCCGGCGAGTGGCCAAGGAAGTAGAACTCATGGAGGCCGAGCGGGCCGTAGAACCACTCGACCTCGGCCTGGAGCGACGCCGCGTTGAAGAGCGTGTCCTTGGACAGGATCGCCAGCACTTGGGTCATCTGCGCCTCGACGTCCTTGGAGCGGTAGATGCCATGCTCCATCGAGGTGCTGCGGCGCGTCTGGAGGTCCATGCTGCTGAGGTGCTGGTGGAGGCGGAGGCCAATTCGAAAATGAATCTCAAAACTAAAATCTTATCCTCGCGTGGGAGTACCGTAGGCAACGCAAAGATCGCGCGTCGGTGCTGTTTTATATAATTAAATAATGCCGCGCCCCCTCCGCATACAAATTCCAAGTCAAACGACACGTGACGGGGCACAAAAATATAAAGGCCCCCGTTGTAGTCATTCTAAACGCGCCTTCGGATTGGCTGAAATCCTAATTCAAGTCTTCAGCCAATCACACGCTGCCATGTTCCGGGTACGTCGCTTTTGATTGGCCCAATATGGTTGAACAACCGCCGCGACTAGGGTTCCCGACGGCTTGTTACGGGGATCAGTCGTCCACATACAAAAACCAAGTGTAGTTATAAGAGACAAGCCCAGTGTCTTCTGGCGCCTTTTAGCACCCGGTCGCCCAATGAGCGGGCTCGGTCAAGCGGTTAAAGTGGGTTTAACGCAAAACCGTTATCCTGCTCTGGTCATACATTAATCCGACGCAACTTGGCCGCATGCGCTGGCCTCTTGAGCGCGATACGAGCGGCTCTTTGTGCGCGTCTCGATACCTGTCGTTTGTCTGCTAGCGTTTATACCCTAGATGCGGTTTGCACCTCGTGCGTGGCGTGCGGCTAAAGGTGCGTCTGCATCGCCACGTGGTGCAAGGTGGCGTGCGACTAGCCTGTCGAGATTCGCGTGCGATGACGCGCCGACGTCACATTTGGTTTCTTGCGCGCGCCAATGTGGGGGTGGACCAATTATGTATTACGCAGACGAGGGGCGCGCCTCTTGATGACGTAGGAAAGGACGACGAGGACGTCCCTCCTGCCACATCTCTGCGTCGCCATTGCACATGCTTGCAATTGCGCAATAAGAATAAGCAACTTCAAGTCGGCACTCACTCGACATCTACTGAAAGAGCTCGGCCGGGTAATACTTGGGCTCGAGGTCTTCGGCCTCGAGGAACCGCAGCGGAAAGTACACGATATGCCCGCGCACGCCGCCGAGCTCGGCCTGGCGCTGGACGCTCACGGTCGTGTGGCAGCGCATCGCAGTCATGGCAAACGTGAACACTTGGCCGTTCGACTCCTTCTCGCGGTGCGAGACGGACCGCGGAAGCGTCTCGTCCGGGAGCGCGACGCTCGTTTGGATGCCCGACGTGGACGCAGCGTGAAAGGGCGCGGCTGGCGGCTACACCCATATCGTGCACCCAACATCAGTCGCTGCAACGACCAAGCCGCACGTACCGCTGTCGTCGGCTCCTCTTCGGGAAGCGTCGGCGGACGCACGTGCTCGGCGGCGTCCTACACAGGCGTGTCTCGAGACGCCACATTGCGGCATAGCACCGTACGACGTCGGCGTCCTGGCTCGTCGCATGGAGCTCGGGCACCTTGCGGAACGTCCCGACGCGCTCCTTCTTGTCAAGGTCCTGCGCGATGCTTAGCGGCGTTGCTTCGAGGCAAAACGTACGTATTTGACGCCCATGTCGGAGAAGCACCGGACGTCGTCGGCGGGGAGGCAGCCAAAGACCGACTTGTAGTGCAGCGCGTTCTTCATCGCTTGGTCCTGGAACGCAAACCACGTGGCCGCAGGCACGGGGTCGCGGTACCGCTCGTAGAGCGACGACCCGCGCGCGACGCCAAAGTGCTCTTCGAAGAGCTTCATGCGGAACGAGTGGCCAAAGCGCCCAACGGACGCGCCCGCGCCTGTCCGCAGGTTGAAGTTGGGAAACGGCAATGTGACAAACCACAGGATCGATGATATATATGTACCTAGCGTCACGGACGGCAGGAATTCGGCGTCTTCGATGACGACCGCGATCTCCGAGTCGCGGTCGCCGTTCATGCTCCGCTCGTTGATGTTGGCGCTATGCAAAGCCGTCGTCATCCGAGGGCAGTCGGCGCGTGTTACCTGCCAATGATGCACGCGCGGTCGTCGACAATCATGATTTTCGAGTGCACGTAGACTTCCTCCGTCACGGGCGTCCCGTCTTGGATCGCGTGCGTGCGCAGCCCGTAGAACGCAATGTACTCGAATGGATCGTCAATCTCCTTCTTGAGCCGGCGGTAGATCGAGCCTTCGCCGCGGCAAATGCTGCGATACTAGAAGCCGTTGTGTCGGCGATACGAGAAACTATAGCGTCGATGGCTACCTGCCAGTGCATGACACCGCGCAAGCTGTACGCTTGCTTGTCTTCGGGCTTGCCTTGAAACGCAGGCAGAAGCGGCATCACCACCATGACGCGGAACGGCTCGTTCGCGGCCGCCGCGCGCAAGATGCGGGCGACGAGCGCATTCGCGATTCGGTTCTGGCAGAGCGTGTCGCCTTCGATGCCCGACACAAAGAACTGATTCTACGCCGATTCGCTGTGAGCAATAGTTAGTAGAGAGCAACCAAACCTCGATGTATATGAAGCTCGTCGCCGACGTAATGAGGCGGATGTATGCATTCTGGATGCTCTTCTCTGTGGGACAGCCCCCCGACCAGAGCGAGATGCTCCGGACGACTTGGACCGCACAAGGGATGCCGGCTTCGTCCGACCCAGGCGACGCTACGTCGATCGACGATGCGTCCTCGAGGACCGATGCGATGACGGGCGCTGCATGACTGTTGTCGGCTTCAATGTCCTCATCCGTCACGTCGACAAGCCGGCTAAAGCCTCGGTTGAGCAGGCGGCGCGGAGGCGTCGGGTGCGCGGTGCTTGGTGGCGGCGGTGGCGGCGCCGTTTGCGGCAAAATGTGCTCAAACTTGTGGCCTTTGACGCGCGTGCTCACCGAAAAGTTCCAGCGCTGGATAAAGTGACGGCCTATGTCCCGCGCCGGGTCTCCGACAAGCCTACAAATCTATCTTAGTCGGAGGCAATAAGAAACGCAATGGCATCTACTGGCAGTGGCAGTCGTGCCACGGCATGCGTGGGTGCGCGTGGCGGTCCATGAGGTCGACGTTCGGCTCGTTCACCTGCACAAAGTCCTTGATGCGCGGGTTGCTGTAGTCCTTGCCTGCACAAATTTACGTCCCGCCCAGAATCCATGATCATGTCATACCCGGGAACGTCGCGCCCGCGTCGTCAAAGAGGGCATGCTCAGGCGTATCGTAGCGGCCAAAGCAGAGGTCGAGGCCGCCGACAAACGCGACGCGCTGGTCGATGCACACGATTTTCTCATGGTGCGACCACATGCCCCACTGCTTCATGATAAAGTCCGGGTCGCGCAAGACGCGGATGTTGGTGTGGTGCAGACTCCGCAGCGTCTTCTTCGAGTACATGCTGTCGAGCGTCAACGCGACGCTGACTTCCTTGTACATGAGCACGTAAATCTACAGCCCATTAGACAATCCCTCTCTCTTCATCCCAATCGCAATCGTCGACCTGGACGCCTTCGTCGGCTTTGCGCTTCAGGACAAGGTCGAGGCGCGCGTCCGGAAACGCCGTCGACGGCCGCTTGAGGTACGTGTTGGGGCAGATCCACCACCCCGCGATAAAGATCTCCTTGGTCGCACGCAAAAGGCCATCGTAGATCGCCGCGTACGCGTCGTGGCCGTCGACGTACCTACTCGGTCATCGACATGAGACGACATATGACAAGAAGTCAAGATCGTAGATGATACCACTGCGCGCGAGACGACTTCATGGGGCGCGGGATCGCGAACGACTCGTCGCGGTGGTTCTGGGACCACTCGCTCGCCTCCATCGTGCGGCGAATCGCATTCGCCCACTTGAGCGCGTCGTCGCGGTGCCGCGCCTCGACGTGCAGCACGAACGACGCATTCGAGATCACGAGCGCCTTGTGCGACCCGACAAACCGCACGCCGCGCTCGACCTTGAATTTGGCGTCGAAGAGCAGCACTTCCTTGGGCGCCTTGTCCTGCAAGAACGATTGTGCAGAGACAGAAATGCTGCTGGACGTACGCGGTTCGAGGCGTAGATCGCGAGGCAGCACGGCTTGAGCGCGACCCACTTCCAGTGCGTCGTCTGGTACGCCACCTTCTTGCACACGCAGAGGCAGTTGAAGCAGCAGTTGTCGCACGCCACGGCGCCGCGGTAGACGCGCACGTTCTCTGAAATCGGTCGTGTGGCGAGGCCAAGGGAATCTCATGTACCTTGGTTGCCCTTGAGCCAAGTCTTGACCTTGAGCCAGCCCTCGCGCTGCGACGTGACGCGGCCGTCCGCATCGAACGTGCCGGCGCTGATCTGGAAGAGCGAGAGCACGTACGCCGACGCGCGCACCTTGGGAATCGCGAACGCCGTGTTGAGGTAGGCTTCGATCAGCCGCAGCATCTCATCGCGCGTCGAGCGCTCGTGCGTCGCAAAGAAGAAGTACCGGAGCTGCGGCATGTCAAACATGCCCGAGTTGGCTTTCGACGGCGACGCCGGTGGCTTGGGCGAGATTGGGCGCGGCGACGTTGGCGGCGGCGACTCGGGCGACCCGACGTTGGCCATCGCGCTCATGAGGCCGTGGCTCTTGATGTAAAACCAGATGCGGTAGATGTTGCTCTTGGAGATCGACGTCTCCCACGTCGTGTCCTTGTAGACCAACTAGACTACATATCAGACAACTTGTACAATGACAGAGGCAGACCTGCACGTCAAACTCGATCGTCTTGACGGGCCAGTCGTCCTCGACGCGGGCGCCCTTGATCGCGATGCTGGGTGCGCTGTTGAACACGTCGAGCGTCGGGTCCCACTCGCGGGCCGCGGGCGCCGACCCAAAGAGCCACCACGGGCGCGACGCCCGCGCCGGCTTGGTCTCGGGACCATGGACGGGATGCTGGGCCTCGTGGCAAACCGCTCCGTCCGCGTCCATCGACGACATAGCAAATGTGGTTTTTCAACTGCAATCTGCGTTACACCACCGAAGCGTCGCGATGGGCCACGACCTCTCCAAGCAGGCGAATCGGCTCTCGATCGCCGCCGTCTCCCACATCACGCAGTGTACGCTGCGTCCTGTCTCGCTCCTCGTAACGATGTCGCTATGCTTAGTCGACCGCGACGACCTCCTCGAGCTCCGCACGTGCTTTGAAAATGCAGTTTTGGCCAAGAGCCCCAAGACCAAGAAACTGGTCCCGCTCTCCACGTACGCGGCCAGGAAGGACCGCGTCGAGCCCAATTTAACGCGCGCCGACTTTAACGCGGGCCTCGACCACGTCAACTTCTTTGTACTAGTGAGCTTTGCTCTTCTACGACGCTGCCCTTGGACGCGTAGGAGTCGGACCGCGCGATCCTCGACCGCCTGTTTACGATGCTCGACAAGACAGGCGACGACGTCATCAACTACCACGAGTTCCTCGTCGGCGTCGCGCCGCTCGTCAAAGGTGCGACTGCGCACGTCGCGATCGTCCAAGTCAGTGGATCCTAGGCAATCTCTTGTCCAAGATAGCGCGTAGACTGTCCGGCGGCTTCCGAGGTTCTTATCCTAGTGCGATGTAGTGGCATTCGAAATGTACGACGAAGACAGCACCGGGTACACTCAACAGACTCCATTTGGCTCGTATACCGATCCAAGTAGCGAGATCAACGCCAAGGGCTTTCGCTTCCTCTTGACGACGATTTCGACGGTCGCGTCCTACTTTGGCGACCCCGTCCTCTCTAAGAAGGACGTTGTTGTGCTCACGAACGACATCTTTGACAACTACGACACGATCGAGTATACGAGTAGTAGCTCGTCGATGGCGTCATGACGCTCACACGCGCTCTAGAGAACATCCCGCGCATCGCAGACCACGCGATTATCGAGGCGTACGTGACCCAAGAAGGCGCCTTGTGAGCATCATAATGTAATGCATTAAGATGACTACGTATCGGGGGCGTGCCACGAGCTATCTTTGAGCGGCGCCGACTGGAGGTGGGCACTCAGCACACGCTGCTTCTTCTTGAGCAGCTCGATGCGGTTGGGGCCAAGGCGCGCCGACGGCGAGGCCAGCTCGAGGCCGAGCACGGGGCCACCGCGTGGGACGGACGGAGGCGTGCGTTGGCGGCGGGGCAGCACCGGGAGACTGCTCACATTGCGCAAGCGCTGTCGCTACATGGACCATCAGACAGAAGTTGCAAGATGGAAACGCATACCCGCTCCATCGCGGGGACTTGAAGGGTCTGTCGACTTAGCGACGTTTGCAGGGGCATCAAGTCGCGATGCGGCTCGAAGCGCGGCTACGACGGGGGCATAAGATGACGCCTGGCGTAGAAAAGGTCGGTACTTGAACGCGTGGTGGGTTCTCGGTCGAGATCGGCTGCAGTTGGCGCCGCTGAAACTCATTTCGGAGCTCGTTGATGTCGTCCATGCGCCGGCCGGACGTCGACGTCTCGTCATCGAGCAACGCCTCGTCGTCTGTCGCGTCAAAATGGCTCACGTCAATGACGCGATCGTCGTCATGGCCGCCGTGCGGATGATCGCAGGTTTCGGGCAGCCACCGGTGCTTAGAGACAGCGAGGCGGCCGCCAACCACTGCAAACTCGAGCTGCTCCATGTCGGGCTTCTCCCCTTGCCACTCGAGCTTGAGCGGCGTCGCATCGTACACGCCGTGGCGCTGCGTCACCGAGACGCCGATGAACTCGGTGTCGTGCTTGACGGGGCTCGTTCTTGGCCGTAAATGAAAGCCTTGCGGCTCGAGCACATACGTCGAGAGCGGTCGCCTACGCCATGTTGCCGTCCCTTGACGCAAGGAGAAGCATTCCGCACCGGTGGCTGCCGTCGTCGTACAAGTCGTGCTGCGGCTCGTAGAGCGCGACCGTGCTGTTGGAAGCCGACGCCATGAGCGACCGGTGGACTGCGCTCGTCGCTGCCTTGAGCGGATCTACGGGTTTGCCTGCGAGTCCCCGCGCCATTGGGCGCGCATCCTCAAGGCCTTCGTGCGAGCGATTCGCGGGACTGAGACTGCCTCCTGCTCCTGGTTGGTGCTGCTGGTTGCTGCTTGCGTGTAGCTTTGCGCGCTGTCCTCCACTCGGATGCGTCTTGTTGCTGCGTCGCCCGTCGCCCATCTGCAGTGGATCGTCGCCCGCCTCCATTGTCGTACCAGGAGCGGGACCAACGGCATTCGTACTCGAGGCGGCCGCGGTCACCGATACCTTGGTAGCAGTCGCTCCGCTTCCGCTACCGGCGACGCCGGACGCGTGGCTGGAGGCTGCGTCATTGTCGAACCGAGAGCTCGTCGCGTGATGATCTTGACCTGCGTACGACGCTGCCGTCACATCTTGCGCGTAGGACCCGGGAGAGAAGACGTCCCCTTGGGCGGCAGTCGCAAACGTCGTCGCGTGACCCGACGTCAGGCCACCGGTCGCAACGCCATGGCCACGTGGAGTTGCGTTCGAACCAGCGCTGGCGCCATGCGTCGCTGCTGCAGTCGCGCCTCCGTGAGGATGGAGCGATGGAGCTGTTGAGCTAGCGGGACTACCAAAGGTGCTGTCACTACCACGAAATGCGTGGCCGTTGGCGGCAGCGTGGGTTGACTTGCCGTTGTGGGACGAGAGACCATGCTGCGAAGGGCGATTGGGCTGCACGTCGCTTGCCTCGGCCGCGAGAAACTGAGCAACCAAGTTGGGGTCACTGCCATGCGCGGGGCTCGGTGTCGCCACCGAGGTCGAGGTCGGGCCGAGACGAAGCGCACGCGGTGGATCGTTGTCGGGGGCAAGACTTCCAGAGACATCGTCGCCGTCAAAACCCAGTTCGTTGCTGTGGGCATGCACGTTGCGCGCGACCGCGTCGGCTTGCGCCGGCACATAGCTGCTTGCCTTGGTCGGTGCTGCTGCAGATTTTGGATGTGACGGGACCCCGCGCTTGGCCGGGGACACACGCTTGGGCGCGGCCTTGTGGGCTATCTCTATTTTTCCGATGGCGTGGGCCTGGGCCGTCGTCACGGTCGATGTCGGCGGCGCGGTCTTGGACGTTGTCGCAATGGCTTTGGCTGCGCTTCTGGGATCCCGCTTGGCGCTGCGCTCGAGCTCCTTGCCTTTGGCGAGCTCCTTCTTGGCGCGTAGCTTCTCGAGCTTGGTGCGGTCCGTCGCACTCGCGTTGATGAAGATGATGTCTGCGTCGCGTATGAGTCCGACTGGTATAGTTGACGCTAGACAATGTCGTACCGTGCACGTCGCGCAGGTGCGTGGTGCCGGGCAAAAATATGTTGAGCGCAATGTGCTCGAGAAAGCCAATGTAGTCGCGGACGTCGAGACTGTCGACCCACACGTCTAGCGCATTCGAGTGCATCCTCCTGGTGCCACCACGGTGTGACGTACCCACGAGCTGGAAGAGGCTCTCAAAGAAGAGCGCGTAGCTCATCGTGTCTTGGCCCTTGCGGTCATTGTCCCACTCGCTCTATGAGCACCAAGTCGCTTGGCGACGACGAAGTTGATGCACGTACGGCCACCGAGGCGAGCGCGGCCGAGTCGTCGAAAGCCGCGTCGAGGTACTTGGCGACCGAGACGTAGAACGCCATGTACCCCTCTTTCCGGAGACACCCGAGCTCGTCGCGGTCGGCTTCAAGGGCCCAGAGCCGGCGCACAACGTCGTCGATCCGCCGGTCTTTTCGCAGACTGTACCGAAGCGCGAGTGCGTCCTATGGACCCGAGAGACTCGTCGGTCTCGAGATGACGTTTTGAGTTTGCACCTTGGAGTACATTTCATGGCCGGCGTCGTCGGCGTCGCCACTCGAACTGTCGTTGAGAGTGACGTCGGCGCCCGCCTAGGACGGGAGTTGGGTGGTGGCCCGAGTACGCAAGCTGCGGCGAGAGACCTTTTCCAGCGACTCGGTCTGCGCTTGCTGGAACTTGCGCTGCTGCACCTCGTCGAGCTGCGACATCTTGATGGACGTCGAGAGCTTCTTCCAGAGCGCCTTGGAGCGCCCTTGGACCGACGCCATCGTGGCGCCAAATGCCGAGACGGTTTCGCTGCTAAAAGAGGCAACCCACGTCATCCTTTCTCATCAACCGCCTTGGGACGACGTTTGCGATGTTATATTAAGTGTTGTCTAGCCGAGGTAGACGCTGGGGGCGCCAGGGTGCAGTCGCCGGGATCGTCGCACTGGCACCGGGGTCAAGAGCTCGCTCTAGTGTCGACGAACGAGTCAGGAGAAGTCTCGGCGAGATGACGTACCTCGGTCGCGTAGTAGCTCCCGCGGGTATTCTCGTCGTCGTCTTCGTCGTCTTCGAGGCTGTCAAAGTCGACTTGGTTCATGTTGCGCGTCTACGCGCTGTAAGGACAAGGGAATTTTTGAATATTCAAGTACAATGCGGTCGAGGCCCGGCGCGGGGCGTAGTCCGGATGGCCGACGCGACGACGCAGGAAGGCGCGTCTTCTTGCGGGGCGTGAAGGGGTACCCGCCTTGGACTTGCTGCTCATAGAGCACGCTGAGCATGGCCAGCACAAACACGAGGAAGCTCAGACCACATGCGATCTGCAAAAGAGACCAGCTCTCGAGGATCCATCGAGACGGCTGCGACGGTGTCGGAGCCGTGGTCGGTGTCGCTTTCGGGCGCGGCTTGACGGGCCGAGGGGCCGGCGCAGGAGTGACCTGCGGCAGCACGGCAGGGGTCGCCAGCGCAGGCTTCGGTTCGACAGTCTCGATTGGGGCCGGCTGGAGCTGTACCGTGGGCAGGTCGGCGTACGGCGAAGGCGCGGGTGGATCAGCTTCTTGCGCATCGTGTGGTGTTGCAGTAGGCTCGTCCGAGGGTGTCGTCGGCTCAGCCTCCGTGTCGGGCGGTGGGACGTACCCGACTTGCTTGTGCGCATTCCGGAAGGTTACTTGGATCGACTCGGCGGCCTCGAGCACCATCGCTTCAATCTTGGCTTGACGCTCGGCCATGTAGTCTCGCACGCCCTGGATGTGCTGAACACGCTCGGCGTTGAAGTCTTCTTCGCGCACCTTTCGCCAGGCCATGGCCTTGAGCACGTCGCTGATAGAGGTCTGGAAGACGTCGAGCTCCTCCTGCAGCGCTGCGTACTTGGCGCGGACGAGGTCGCTCTTGCGGTGGAGCTCGGCCTGGGCCATGGCCAGGTTCGTCCGGCGCTCGCCCGGCGACTCGCGCAGCAGGTAGCTCGGGACGAGCTGCCCAGCGATGCCCAAGAGGAGGCAGATTCCGATGATCTTCCACGCCCATCGATGCTTGTCGTCGAGGAGTGCATGCAGTGCCATGGTCGCGCTCATGCTCTCTGCTCCGAATGCAATATATTGGCGTCCGGAAACATCAATATTCAAACGGACCAATCCGCGAAGGGCCGTTTAAAACGCCAACTGTCTTGTCTATGGTATCGCTCTCGGTGCATTTTTTTAGATTTTGTATGTCGGCGCTCTAAATCGCACAATATATGCATTTCCCTATTTACTATTTGTATAGGTATATGAAGCTCGAATGGAAACAATATGCATTTGCCGGCGGAGCTCGGGTTGTAGCAATCTTCCAGCATCAGCGCGAATGGCAGCAACAGCGCGGGCCTTCAAGGTGGCCTTCAAGTGCACCGGCTGCGGGCGCTGCTGCACCGGCAAAGGCGGCGTCGCCTATGTCAACAGCAGCGAGGTTGCAGCTATGGCCGAGCATCTCGCTTTGCCAAAAGCCACGTTTGCCAAAACGTACCTGCGCAGCGTGAATGGCGCGACCGCCCTGCGCCAGACGGACGACGACAGCCAGTGCATCTTCCTCGATGGCAAGCGATGCAGCGTGTACCCGGCTCGGCCGACGCAGTGCCGGACGTACCCGTTCTGGCCGCAACAGCTCATCTCCAAGTACGACTGGACGCTGGCTGCCAACGAGTGCGAAGGCATCCTGCTGGACGCACCGTCGCCCGAGACCATCACGCCCGACGCGCACATCCTCAAGGAAGTCGTGATTCACGAGGTGCCTTCCACCATATTGTCGTCGCGTGACGCATACGTGAGTAGGTACACCGATCGGGCGAGAACCTCACGTACGACGACATCGATGAACTTGTTTCGGAGCTCGAGCCCGAGATGCTTGACGCCTTCCAAGAGGTACCGCTGGCAGCGCACACCGCTCTATGAACCTCCTTCTTGTAGGAGGTCGATGCCAAGTACCAGCGCACGATCCTCCACGAAGACGACGAGATTCTGGTCATGGACAGTTTTCTCGGTACAGCGCTCAAATCCCAATAAGATGTCTAAGTCAGCCGATACAGATGGCCTGCCACCGACGCGGTCGCTGCATTTCGTTGACCGCCTCGAGCTTGTCCAAAGCGAAATCTTGCTCAACGAGGTAGACGCGTCACTCTGCGTCTCGCACGCCCACGACGACGCGTAGGACGGTTCGATCAATGACGCAGCGCTAGCCCTGGACGTGCACAAGGGTCTCTGCGTCGGCCTCGCGCTGCTACCCACCGAGCGCCTCCACAACCTCCGCATTGGCTTGCTCGGCGCCGGCGCAGGTGTCCTCCCGACCTTCCTACAGAGACACTTGCGCGGCGAGGTGCTCATGGACGCCGTTGACCCTTCGCGCGCGATGCTCTCTGCAGGGTACTCGATACCCACTCTGCCTGTCTTCTTGACCAAACTGTAGCCAACGATTCTTCCACCTCATACCGTCCGACCGCCTCTCGCTGCACGAAGCAATGGGCGAAGCCTATGTCGCCCGCCAGCCAGACGCGTCCTTGGACTGGCTCGTGCTCGATGTCGAAGACGGGAACGCTGCGCCGACCGAGCTGCGTGCACCGCCCGCGTCGTTCCTTACACCGGCGTTCATGGCAGACGCCAGTCGCGTGCTCACGGGTGACGGCAGCCTCGCGATCAACGTCATCTTTCCGAAAGCCTCCGGTGATGCAGACGCGTCGCTTGAGATGCTTCGGGTGCTCCTCTCGCCCCACTTTGCTTCGATCTACGTGCTCGCGCTGCCGAAGAACGCGGTTGTGTTTGCGGCCAAGCGCGAGCGGACGGAAGCGCCGACCGCGCTCGTGAACGACGGTAGCATCGGGCGTCCACTGGCCGCAACGATCCGAGAGCAGCTGGCGGCCAGCACCTTGCGTCGACTAGGAGAATAGCAAGACTGTGGCGTTGGAACACGCTTTGTACATCAATAGAAACGACTCGAGGACGGAAAGAGCCACCGCAATTTGCGCTCCCGGGCCTCCTTGAGCTCATCAATGCTATGCATATAGCGTGATTCCTCGTGTCCCGGCTAGACTCAAGAGTGGCTACCTCAGTCCGCTGTAGTCCCGATGTCGCGCTTCCTTGTAGATCGCAGGTTCGTCATCCCGCCAAGCGTGTCGGCCGTCCAACTCGAACGACCGGGGCGCGTCTCGGCGTCGATGACCGTTGTACGTTGTCTCGTGTGCGTCGGGATCGAAAGAGAATGGCTGGCGTCGTACGTAGCGATCGTCGTCTTGGTTGCTGTTGTGCATCGGCGGCAGCAAGGCATCAAAGCGCTGCAATACGTCCACGGCGTCGTCCCACGGACGAGGCGCCGGTGGCAGGTTTGCGTCCCGGCGCGGATCGACATTAACAGCAGGGACAAACACGTCGTCACTGTCATCGTTTGCGGCCAACTGACAGGACGTCATGCCCATGACGCGCTCCTAGACGCCCCGTGTGTTGTGTTGTCGAGTGGCGCCGTACCTTGGCAGCGATCAAGTCGTTGGCCTCGCTCTTGGCTTTGGCCTTGGCCGCGTCCGCCATCGTTTTGGCTTTGGCTCTGGCGTCCTTCTCGCGAAGCTCGTTCTCGTCGCGGTCCCGCTGCTCCTTTGCATCGCAGTCGAGCCTGCGTCGAAGTTGCAGCTTTTTCTTCTGTTTGCACAAGAGAGGACTACCGGTGGCGAAGCGTGTACATGGCAACGCTCAAGTCTTCGACGATCGCCCGGCTGTGGAGCGCCAAGCTCGCCAAGTTGCACCCATCGTCGTCGTACGCGTGGGCTTCGTCGTCGTCGTACGCGTGGGCTTCGTCGTCGTCGTTGTTGCTGTCCCTATCGATGCTACTGCTGCAACCCTGGTCGCTCGAGCGCGGCGAGTCGGGTTCACAGCGGCGTCTTGGCGGCGGGGACAGCGGTGCGTACGCCTCCTCGATGGCGTGCGTCTTGGCGGCCGCCATCGCCTTAAGCCGTTGCAGCTCGTCGATGAGCGACGCCTCCGGGTCGTGTGGGCCTTCCAAGCTCGGCGAAAACGCTGGCGGAAACAGCAACGTGGGGGCGATAGGCGCCACCTATATGATCTGAGCGTCGTGACGCCATAGCGCTCTACCATGTTGATGCGGGCGAGGATGGCACGCAAGTCGTGGTCGTCGGTCATGGCTTGGCTTCGGACGATGTGGTCGAGCTGCGGCGAGGTCGCGGCGGCGGTCTCCGCTGCCTACACCACATGACACAGTCCTATGTGTCATGCGAAAGACGCACTTGTTCCAAGCGCTCGAGCGTCGCGTGGAGCTCCCTCGCCGAGGCGACCGCATGGCCCTGCACAATACTCTTGGCTTGGGCGGCCTCGGCGGACGGCGCCTACGCAACGCATCGCAACAAGCGCAACGTTCGTGGCGCGTACCTTGGTGACGGGCGCTGCGTCCGGTTTCGGGTACTCTTTGGCCTTCTTGTTGAGGAGCTCAAAGGCTGCGTCGAGCTCGGTCGCGATTGTGAGCGCCGAGAGTGGCAGTGTGGCCACCGCCTGCGCCTCGGGGGACGGCGCGATCTCCGTCCGGCTTGCCTCCCATTGCTGGAACGACGCGAGCGCCTGGGCCATGTCCCGGTCAATCGCGATGCCCGTGTTGCGAATGACGTCGGCGGTGGACGCTGACACGTGCACGTCGGCGGTGGCCGGTCGCACCGGCTCGTGTCGCTGCGTCGACTGTTGCTGCTGTTGTTGGTGGAGGAGCATGGCAGCAATGTCGTCCTCGACTGATACCGTGCGGTGCAGCATGGGGACATGCGATGCTGGCGATGCCATTATTGGCCGACGCATGGGTTCCTTTGTCCGGCCGTGCTCGATGATCGCATCGAGCTCGTGGATGTCTTGGGCAATGATGCCATCGAGCGTCGGACGGCGGGTGGGCGTGCGTCGCGGCGACCGCGCGTGCAGCGGCAGGCCATGGCGGAAGCGGTCAATGAGTCCTTCGACGGACACTTCGCTGCGGTCGCTGCCCGGCGACTGCATGCACGTGCGATATTTTCTCGGTATCCGAAACGGGCGTTTGCTGAGCCTATTGTCCCCGAGATCTGCATCTCGCACTGCACGTACGCCTGTGGTCAACGTGGCGGCGTTCAATGCGCAGCCTTCTACGACAATACTGCTACTGCTTGCAAACATTTGGCTGCACGGACGAGGAGTGGACCAAAGGGTTAATAGATATAGGAGAGGAAGAAGCCTAGCACTGGGAGACGCTCGACCACAATGATCGTGACAGAGATGCTGAGTAGCGCGACGCCAGCACCGATCCAGATGCGGTCTTTGTTGGCTTGCAGCTGGAGCTCTGTGAGGAGCTTTCGTGTGCGCGAGAGCTCGGCGTCGAGCTCCGTGTACGAGTCGTTCGACTGCTTGAGATGCGACTTGCCCTCGACAAGGCGCGCTTGGACATGCCCGGCGCGGTCCATTTCTTGGCGCAGAATCTGCTGCGTGCGCTTGAGCGACTGGTTCACGGCCACGTGCGGCGCCTTCTCCTGGGGCTTGGTTGCGCCCGGCGCCTTAGCCACGAGTCCTTCATGCTCTTTCACCAGTCGCAGCTTGCGCATGCAGGCGGCCCACTGCTTGGCCAAGGCCTCGCCGCGCGCCTTGTGCTGCGTCCACTTGTCTCGCCCGTCCGGGTCCTCGCGGATCTTCTCGGTCAAGCGCTGGATCGCGGTCGCCAGCTGCTCCGTGAGATGGTTGCCTTCCTTGATCGAGAGCGCCGCTTGGGCCTCCTTGTCCTGCAGCAGCTGCGTCACGCGCTCGTACACGGACGTCGCTGCCATCGTCGTTGTCGTCGTTGTCGTCGTTGTCCACGCGGCAAGTTCCAATTCGCTGCCCAAATGTGTTTAAAACAGTTTGCAACACCGCTATATCCGAGGACCGGATAATTGCTGAACTCAAAAAGGCGCGAAACCAGTTTCTCGAATTCTCCATACGACTTCCATCCGCAGCCTCGGCCATCTGCGTCCTTATACGCAAGCCATCTAGTATCGCAACGACCAAGTCCCAGCGCACCAAACGTGTCTTCGAGTCCCCTGCATGAAATACCCATCTTCCCATTCCTCCGCAAGATCTTTACTCAGCCCAGCGATCCAGCCAAGGCAAAGGAGATGACGCGCCGCCACGTATGCCAGCTTCTGAGGGCGATGTGCCCGCTAAGATCCCGCAACCGCGTTTGCCCTCCAAGATACAAGATTAGTGTCGAACTAGCTCATTGTATTTTCCCTGGGCCGACGTGATCAAGCGGACGAAGGGGTGGGGACCCCTACCCCCTAGTTGAAGCCAGCAATAAACTGATGCTGTGCATAGAAGATTCGCGCGTCCGTGTCTGGCGTCCCGCTGCGTGTGCTTACGCCTAAGACCTTAGCCGACAAGATTGCGCTGACAGACTCGTCCAAGTCGCGCCGCCGCTGGCCGCGCGCCATTCTGGATCGCAAAGATCGCTTCTTTATCCGGATACGGACGCGACCTTACTATGGAAGGCAGCGTTGTGGGAACTTGTGGCTCCGCCGCGGCGACCGTATCCGGATGTGGGATCGAAAAGCGGCGCAGATTCAACTGCGCGGACTTGTTAGTTTTTGTTTGGTCTTTCTCGGCGAAGCGCAAGAAAGATGAGTGGCCAAGCCTCCCCCGCTGCCGTGCACCCGGTCACGGTCGGTAACACCTTTGTGAAGCAGTACTACCACCTCCTCACGGAGACGCCGCAGAACCTGCACCGGTTCTACAAGGACATTAGCCGCTTCTCGCATGCGACGGGGTCGCAAATGGAGGAGCCCATCTCGGGCCAGACCGCGATCGGCGAGGCCATTATGGCCAAGAACTACGTGGGCACGCGCGTCGACCTTGACAATGGCTCGATCGACTGCCACGCGAGCTTGAACGGCGGCGTCATTGTCATGGTCACGGGCATTATCAAGCTCAAGAACAGCGCGCCGACGCCGTTTGTGCAAACGTTCTTCTTGGCCGTGCAGCCCAACGGGTACTTTGTCTTGAACGACGTGCTTCGCTTCCTCGAGGTCGCCGCGCCCCGCAACAGTGTGCCCGTCTCGCCCGCGAAGAAGCTCGCGCCAGCCCCGTCGCCGTCCAAGTCGACCCAAACCGTCGTCGCGGCCAAGGAGCAGGCCACGAGCACAGCGACGCACACGCCGGCCAACACGCCGACTAATGCTACGATCCTCAAGTCCCCGAAGGCGCAGACCGTCGCCTCGCCGCCGCTTCCTGTGAAGACCGCGACGCCGGTGAAGGCGGCCCCGCTTTCCCCGAAGCCCGTGCCTGCTTCGCCTGTGGCCAAGCCGGCGTCGCCTGCTGCCAAGCCTGCGACGCCTGTTGTAAAGCCCGCGTCGCCTGTAAAGAAGGTTGAAGAAGCGAAGAGCCCGGAATCGCCCAAGGCGTACGACATTTCATATTGCCTATGACTCTTGACCCTAATGGTTGCGTGTTGGTAGTGAGCGTCAGACGCCGGTCGTGTCGCCCAAGGGCCAGAAAAAGCAGCACACGCCCAAGAACAAGGCCCCTGTCGAGGAAGCGCCTGTGACGCCGTCGCCCAGCGAGCCCAAGAGCTGGGCGTCTCTCTTTGGCCGTGCACCTGCCGCTGCGTCGGTCAAGGCCGTGAGCTCCCCTGCCCCCGCCCCCGTCGAGTCTCCTCGCAAAAAGCAACCAGCTGCCTCGTGGACTGCGGACGAACCTGCCGCCGTTGTTGCCGCGACGTCGGCGCCGGCCGCTGGCAAGCCCCGCGTCTACAGCATCTTTATCAAGGACGTCCCGACGCAGGCGACGGAAGCCGAGATGCGCGAGCTCTTCCGCGGCTTTGGCAAGATCGTGACGGTCACGGTGACTAACCGTGGTATTGCGTTTGTCGACTACGCCGAAGCCGAGAGCGTCAAGGCGGCGCTGGCGCACGGTGCCGATTTCGTCCTCCACGACCAAGTGCTCTCGGTCGTTGAGCGCAGCGAGCGCAAGGACGGTGGCGGTCGCGGCGGTGGCCGGGACGGCGGTCGTGGCCGCAGCAACGCCAGCGGTCGAGGCAATGGTCGTGGCGGCCAGGGCAACGGCCCGCGGAAGTCGGACCAGCCTCGCCCCGCGGCGGCCAAGGACGCCAGAAAACCCGCGCCCAAGACCGGCGGGCGTGGTGGCCGTGGCCCTGCACAGACCAACTAGTAGATGGAGTGAAGTTAAGTCGACACAAATAGGATACTAAAGTTATGGGCATACACACCAAGCACCTTGTTCGTTGTTGCCATTCCCGAGCTTTGAACGCATGAAGCGGCGCGAGAGCGATCCTTCGGCCCCAGGTCCGCTCCTGGCATAGCCCACGCATCCACAGCGCCGTGCTCGAGCATGGCGCATGCGCCTGCAGCCTCATGGGCGATCGACAGCCCATGCTTCTTGCGCCTGCCGAGCCATCGTCCGTGCGCCTGCCAGGGTAGCGTCGTCGGGCGCGTGTCTGCCGGCGCCGACGCGGCGCACCGTTGGAATATAATAAAAGCGTGCATTATATCTTGTATTTTGTATGAGGATTAAAAAGAACGCAAAAGAATGCGCGAGCCGGCCCCAAGACGACGCTGATTCAAAGCACTTGCTTAAAGTATACTATACAATGCCAGTGTCGACCAGCACCGTCCTCAAACTCGAGGCGACCACACAGAAGGAAATCAGCGACGAAAATGGACGGCTCAAGCTTGAGCTCGGTCGCGGCGCGGGCGCAAGCCCACTTGGCGTACGTACATGCCATAGTCATGGAGATGGGTGGCGTCGCCCACCGATCGCATGGTCTCGTCATAGGCGTGGGCTGACGACGGCCATAGGGCAGGAAAGTACGCCGACGCCGTCGAGCTGCTCGGGCAGTTGAGCGCATACGATGGCAGCGAGAAGAAGGGAAGCAAGGAGAAGGCGGGGCCGATGAAGTCGCGCGTGCAGCACAACTTGGCGCTGGCGCAGCTGTTGGCCGGCAAGTCCAAGCCCGCCGAGTTTGAGACGGCGCTCGCATCGTTGCTCTCGGAGATGCAAGGCTCAGTGTCGCAATTACAGCACGCCGACTCGATGCTCGGGCTTGGCCTCAAGTTGCGCAAGGAGAAGGACAACTGGGACGACGACTCGGACTACGAGAAGCCGCGCTCGATCGTCTTTAGCGGTGTGAACCTCTCGTTCCAGAGCTTGTCCACCGAGCGCGACGCCACCTTGCTGCGCTACAACCTCGCAGCGTGCTACTTTCGACAGCAAAAGTATGCGTCCGCATCCTCGCTCCTCGATGCGCTTTTGCGCGCGATGGAGCCGATGGACGAGGTCGTGGCCATGCACATTTGCTTCCTGTATCTCGACGTACTGTTGCACAGCAGCCGGAGCAGCGCCATGTCCGAGTCGGCGCTCACCAACATGCGGCAAAAGGCGCACGCTCTCCTTGCGTTCCTTGAAAGCCCGCACGGCTTCAACGGTCTCGCCGACGACCAAGAACCCGTCAAGGACCAAGCCGCCAAGGAGCGTAGCCTTGTCGAGTTCAAATTCCGCTTCCACCTGTACAAGGCCAAGGTCGCGCTTTTGCACGAGAACGCCAAAGTGGCGAAGAAGGAAGTCAAGTCGGCCATGGAGATATTCCAGAAGGAGATCAAGCCCAAGGAGCCATCGACGGCGACCGTGACGACGACGCCGTCCTCGCTCGGCGTCGGCATCGGCGCCATCTTTGTACCTGCGCCTGCGGTGCAGAACACGGCGGCGCTCTACCTCAAGGCGCAGCTCGAGTACCTCCGGCGCAATTTCAAAAAGTCGATCAAGCTCGTCGCGTCGTGCAAGAAGGGCTCGGTCGATGACGTACGCGCGTCATCTCAAATCCCATTCTAGCGCCTCACCGTCCATTTTAGTCGATCCTGTTCAACAACTTGGGGTGCATCCACGCGCAGCTCGGCCAGCACCAAGCGGCGCAGTCGTACTTTGCCCAGGCGCTGAACGCGACCAAGACCCAGCGCCGCTCCAAGCCCGAGCCGCTCAGCGTACGCCACGTTTGGATATAGTTATGTGTGTGTTATAACACTCGTGGGTAGGCGTCCTTGCAAGCAGAGCTGCTCTACAACAATGGGCTCACGCTCCTGCTGCAAAAGAAGTTTGCGCTCGCGTTCCGCTGCTTCTCGGGCGCGACGCGGCTCTTCTTCAACCGGCCAAAGCTCTGGCTCCGGCTCGGCGAGTGCTGCACGGCGTACGTGGCCGCGTCTCGGGACGCGGTGCCCCTCGAGTACAAGAGCCAACTCGTCGAGGCGGTCGTTGGGCACGGCCCGCACCGCCGCGTCGTGCTGCCGACCAGCGCACCCGAGACACTTGTCGCTGACGGTACCTGTCACTTGCACCTGCGCCATTTGACGCTATCTCGCTGTAGACGCCAACATGACATTGCCGTACGCAGTCAAGTGCTTCCGCAACGCCCTCCTGCTCTGCACGCAGCTGCTTGAGGCCAAGGCGTCGGGGGCGACCGAGTATGAGATGGAGGCGCCGGCGTGGACCGCCGACGCGCTGGATGCAGTGCGGCAAAAGGCGCTCGTGCACCTGGCGTATGCGTATTTGAGTCTGGCCGAGCCGCAGCTCGCGCTCGCGACGTGCCGGGAGCTCCTCTCGGTGCCGACGCTCACCAAGGGTCACCGGTACCTCGGGCGGTCGTACGCGGCCGAGGCGCTGAGTCTCTTGTCGCGCTCGAACGAGGCGTCGCCGCTGCTCAAGACGAACGAAATGGTCGTCTTGGCCGACGAGTATGCGCGCGACGCGCGCTTGGACGCGGCCTCGGTGCAGGCCGACGTCCACGTGAACAATGCGACCGCGTGCTTGCTCCAGGTAGACACTGGCATCGACCAGAGATGACTGAGGCTCTGGGTAGAAAAACATGGCGCTTGCCGAGCAACACGTCGCGCTGGCCGTGCGAACGTACCCGACGTCCCGCGCCGCGCTCGAGCAGCTCGTGTACGTGCTGCTGAGGAAAGGCAACAGCAAGAAGGCGCTGCAGATTCTCAAGGAGGCGCGCGTGACCAACTAAGTAGGTAGCATGTACTAAGTCGCCTAACGACTACACCTCGCCACGACCTTTCTTCTTGCACAAGATCCAAAAACGAGTGCGATTATCCGGACACGTCCTGGAACTTGATTGGATAAGAACAAAATTGAACCAAGCCGAGGATTTCTTGGGCGTCGAGACACCTGCAGCATGGGCAGCCGGAGCGCTGCGGACGACGACGACGCGCCCGTGGCCATGGAGGACGTCGCCCGCGCCCGCGGCTTTGAGCTCATCGCGCGGTCCGTGTACGTGCCTCCGATGGCGCGCCCGCACGCCGTCGAGACCGACCTCTGCTTTTGCTCGCGGCCCGACACGGACGACGACGGGACGTGCTGCGACGAGACATGCATCAACGTCGCCACGTACACCGAGTGCCCGCGCGGGCGGTGCCCCTCGGGGAGTGCGTGCCGCAACCAGCGACTGCAACGCCCCGAGTCCTTCCCGACGCTCGAAGCGTTCAAGACGGAAAGCAAGGGCTATGGGGTCCGGACGCGCGTCGCGATTGAGCGCAATGACCCCATCGGCGAGTACGTGGGCGAAATCATCGACCAGAAGGAGCTCCAGCGGCGCTGCGCGGGCCTTGGCCGCCACGAGACCAACTTTTACTACATTCAAGTCGAGCCCGGCGTCTTCAACGACGCCCGTCACCGCGGTGGCTTTACACGCTTTGTCAACCACAGCTGCGACCCGAATTGCAAGGTCGAAAAGTGGATCGTCGACGGCGAAATGCGCTTCCTCGTCTACGCGCTGCGGGCGATTGCACCTATGGAAGAGATCACGTTCGACTACCAGTGGCAGGTGATCGGCACCATGCGCATCACGTACGTGTCCGAGCTCGATACTGCTTTACGATATGCATGCACAGGTGCCACTGTGGAGCAGCGACGTGCTCGGGCTACATCGGCGAAGACGTCGCGCTGCCCGAAGCCCACGGCGTCTTCAAGGAGCCGACCGACGCCGACCAAGGCTTCCAGCTCGTGCACCGCAAGATTCGCGTCTTCGAATCACATCGCGACGACGCGCCCTTCCGCGTCCTTCGCGTCGTCGAGTACGTACCTTGAACCTCACGTTTCCATCGTGGTCACACGGACGTAGGTACGACCCAGAGACAGCCCGTCACCACGTGCAAGTCGACGACGCCAGCGCGACCGAGACGATCAATCTCTCGACGCTCAAATACCAAGTGTACTTGGACTTTGAAGGGCTCTCGGACGACGAGATTCGGACACACATCTTTAGCATCCCCAAGGTCCACCTCGTCTTCTGCACCGCGTACGACGCCTCTTTGTTGTAGGTACAGCGACCGCCGCCACGACGCCGCACGACGCGCTGGGACGTCAAGACGCCCGTGAACATCGAGGCGCCGGCAGCGAGTCCGCCGCCCGAGCCCCCGTTCGTCGCCAAGGCGTCGCCACTGTGCCATACCAAGCTCTTTGTCAAGAACCTCGACAAAGTCTGCAACGAAGAGTACTTTCGCCGCATGCTAGGCGGCCGCGCGAGCACGCTCGTCTCGTTCGACGCGTTCGAATACGACGCTGCGAACGGGTCGACGTGGGCGCTGCTCGAGTTCTCGGACGCCAAGGTCTACGACGCGATGCGGGCGCGCCTCGACAACCGGCGGCTCGCGAGCTGCGTCGCGCGCGTCATCGATGCGTCCGAGCGCGACGTGCAGCACTACGAGAAGACCAAGTTCTTTGGTCGTCCGTCCCGCCACGTCGCGATGTCGCCCGTGTCGCCACCGCCACCAGAGACGCCGCGCTTGAGCTATGCGTTTGGGCGGAACCTGCACTGGTTTGTCAAAGACGTGTCCGACTCGCCGTCGCGGCGCCATGGCATGTCGCCGGCCGTCGAGCACTCGCTCCGCGAGAAGTGCACCAACATCATCCTCAAGGTCGCCATGAAGTTGCGCTGCGAGCGCGAAGACAACGTAGCGGCCATCGTGCTCTTCTACCGCTACATCAGCATCCAGCCCATGAACGCGTCGACGATCGAGTGGGTCGCCGCCGCGTGCCTCCACGTCGTCCTCAAGTGCCACGCGCGGTCGATCGATTGGCAGAAATTCACGTCGTGCATCTACGCGGTCCGGTACCCCGGTGCACGCATCGACGCCGCGGATGCCATGCGCCTCGTGTCGCGCCAGCTCCTCGCGATGGAGAGCGTCGTCCTCGAAGGCGTCATGTACGACGTGAGCAGCCAAGACCCGTACTCGCTGCTCGACTTTTACATGAAGCGGCGTGGCATCCCGATCGCGATTGAGGTGCAAAAGGACGCCAAGTACCTCCTCGCCGACTCGCTCTCGCACACGCTGTGGATGCAGTGCTCGATCGAGACGATCGTGCTCGGCGTTTTGTACGTGGCGTCCGCGCACGACTCGCTCAAGCGCACGGACGCGGCCGGCGGCGATGGCCACCCGTCGCGTCCCACGAGTCGGTATCCGGTCGAAGTGCTCCCGGCGGTCGAGCCAAAGTACTTTGGCATGTGGTCGGCGGCGACGCGGACGTTGGCCAAGTTTTTTAGCTTCCAGCTGTATCGCGACGGCGACGCCGAGGTCTACTGGAAGCGGCTGCTCGCGCGCCTCGAGCTGTGGTCCCGCCATCCTGACTTTAGCGCCGACGACAAGGCGCGCAAGTACCCGCCACTGGATCGCTCCTCGCACCTGCCGCCCGCGGGTGCCGTGAAGGACTCGCCGCGCCTTCTCACCACCGACATGGAGCGCGCTGTGCGCATCCGCAAGCGGTCGTACCTCGCGACCGTGCGCGCGAACGTCGAGTGCGACCTTGCCAACCGTGACGTGTACCTGCAGCCGTGGCCGTACCGCGACCCGACCAAGCTCGTGCACGAAGAGACGGGCATCGTCCAAGTCGCCCTGCAGGTCGACCGTCTCTTGATTCTTTTGTGCTCACAGCATCTCGATAGGAAATCGCTACCGTCATGAACCTCCACGTGCTCGAGCCGTCGCTGATTTTCAATCTCCTCGGGCTCGTCTTCCCCGACCCGAAAGCCGCCACAAAGCGCCGCCATGCGCCCAGTACTGACCCAGAGCTCCGCACTCTCAGTCCGCCGTCCCCGTCCGACGACGCGTCGCTGCCCGTACGACGTCTGTCCAGTGCACCATTTGCATCTTCTCTTGTAGGTGGGCGCCCATTACTTGGCGTTCGAGCGACCACTGCACTTGTACTCGTCGCTCCTGGAAGCTAAGGTCAAGATCCCGTACCCGATCCGGAAGCGCGCGGTCCTCGACCTCTTTCGCAGCGTCGCGCTGTGCCACGACCACAACATCGTCCACCGGTCCATCTCGCCCTCCAACTGTACGTGTCCCGCGGTCGTTCGAGGCTCATGGAGTGGCTAGTGTTTGTCTTCAAAGATGGCGTCAAACTCGGTGGCTTCTACAACGCGCGACATGTCAACACGAAGGGCGACCTCTCGGGCGGGTACGCGCTCATGGACGGCGAGCACTGCGACCACACGCACGGCACGCTGCTGCATGTGACGGCGCCCGAAGTGCTCCTCGGCGCCAAAGTCTACTCGAAGAAGGCGGATCTCTGGGCCGCCGGCTGCGTCGCCATCAACATCCTCCTCGGCGCGCCGCTGATTTGCGGCAAGGACTGGAAGAAGCAGATCGAATACATCTTTCGCATTTGCGGGTCGCCGCCTGACGAGTATGCGGCGGGCGTCGACGCCGACAAGCTCGCCCAGTGCGCGCCGAAAGAGAAGTACGCGGTGCGCATCCGCAAGGCGATCCGGGAACGCGCCCCGACCTTCCCGGACGCGTACCTCCCGATCTTTGAATCGCTCTTGGACTTGGACCCGAAGCGGCGCATGGCCGCGCGCAAAGTGCTCAAGTCGGAGCTCTTTGACGACGTCGACCACCACGTCGACTTTGACGTGTTTGCGAATACGATGGGCAATCTCCAAGACAAGATGGAAGCGGCGCCGGCCAAGCGCAAGGCCGGAAGCAGTAGCAGTACCAAGACGCAGACGCCGCCTCGGAAGAAGAAGGCGCGGAGCTAGCCATAGGTCATCGCGATGGCGACGAGAGTGACGTAGTCGTAGCAACGACGACGACGCTGAGTCTCACTTCTTAGAGTTCTGTGTTTGCGATCTTCCCACGGAGATATCCGGTTGGAGGTATTATCCGGATCTTGAAACCTTGCATGGCAGCGCCGTACGACCCGACGCTGGACGTCACGCCGACGCGCGGTCGGCTCAACTCGGTCCATGCGCTCTTGGAAGAGACGAACCTCGCGATGGGCGACGCGCTTGTGGACGACGCCTTCTGGACTAAGCTGCAGGCCCACATCCTCGACGAGTCGGACGCGGGCTTGCGCGCGACGCTGGTCGGCCGGCAAGCGCTCGCGGCGTGCTCGCCGCTCTGTGCATCGACGGCACAAGTCGGGTTTGTGTGCAGCATAGGCGACTCGTTCGAGGGCCCGAATCGCCTCGTCGTGCTGAGCGCTGTCTTTCGCGCCCAGCGGCTCTTCCTCGCGGTCAAGCCCGGGCTCCTCGCCACGCACTTTGAAGTCGACGGGTTCCTGACCAACTTACGCCAGAGCAAGAACCTCTTTGACGACCGCCAATGGCGCGAAGAGCTCATGGTGCTCATCGTCAAGTACCTCATCGAACATGGTCGCCTCGTCGACGCGGTCGCGATCTGCGCCGAATTTCTCGACGAAGACGGCGCCGGCATCCAAGCGATCGCCATCGACGGCCTCCTCGATCTGGCGTCCCGGAAGCAGCAGCTCCCCATCTCGCTCGTCCAGACGGCGTGGAACCTCATGCTGCACGCGCCAACGAAGGACGGCCGCGTCGACGGCGTCCGCTTGTTTCGAACCGTCACGCTCCAGCACGGCCGAACGCAGATGGAGCGACTCCTGCACGGTCTCTCGCTCGCAGCGGCCGACCGCGCGGAGAGTGTCCGAGTGGAAGCAGCGCTGAGCTTCCGCTTTGTGTCGACCGAGTACGTGCCACAGCTCTTGGCCAAGGCGCAGCTCGACGAGCACAACATGGAGGGGCAGCGCTGGCAGCTCGTCTGCAACGGCGTGCTCTTGTCGCTGTTGGAAGACGTCTCGCAAGAGGTCTATTTCGTCATCTGCTGACGATTCCCTGATCCGCCGCCTTCGCCTGTAGGTGCGTTGTGAGGCGTCGCGGAGCGTCGTGCACGTGTGCAAGGCCAGCACGTCGTCGTCGTTGCCGCAGGAGGCGCTCGAACATGCGATTTCGGCCCACGCCGACGCCAGCCACGAAGACAGCGCGCTCAACACGCAGCTCCAATTCCTCCTTGCTCTCGACGCGCTTCTCAGCGTCTATGCGGCGCGATTTGGCCGCTTCACGGTCTCGACCGAGCAGGTACATTGGCGTATCCCATGGTATCTCTCCTTTGACTTGAGCCTCGCAGCTTTCGTTTCTGCTGCGTCACGCGCTCCGGGCGCCGCACGCCCAAGGGGCCACCGTGCTGCTCTCGGTTGTCACCAAGCTCGCGCTCGAGACGCCGTACCATGCGTCGAGCGTCGTCGCTTTCATCTCGTCGGTCGTGACCCCGCTCTATGCATCGGCGCCGCGCTATCTGCAAGCGCAGCTCGTGGTCCATGCCCGTACGATCGGCGCACTGATCTCGGCGCTCTGGGTGCAACGCGGTGACGTCTCTGCGTCTCCACTCCTAACAGCGCTGGCGACGCCGAGCCAGCGCAGCGCGCCATCGCTGCTCGTCCACACGGCGTCTGTGCCGCTGCCACCGCGTCACCCGTTGCAGTGCTTGCACCAAGTGCCGACGTCAATCGCCCATGCGACCGAGCTCCTCCAGCAGGTCTACTGTCCCAAGTCCGTGCGCCAGTCTCACAAGGAGCGCGTAGGCGGCGGCGATCGAGATGACGCCAAGTGACTTTGTCTCGTCGCGCTACAAGAACATTGTACTCAGCCTCCTCGACGGCGTCCTCGAGCTCCGCCACGGCGGGGCGCACTGGCAACGCGTGCTCGAGACAAGTGTCACGTACCTCGCGGTCGCGGCGCCAAGCCATCTCGAGCGAGCGTCGGCCCTTGACGTACGTGATGGCGTACCTGATGCAAGGGCTGAGTCGTGTGTAGTTGCTGGCGCTGGTCCGCTGCTACGTTGCGACGAGCCTCGAGGATGCCCGCGCCATGATGGTCGAGTGGCCGCGACTGCGAGAGCTGCATGCGACGTCGCTCGACGAGCTCCGGTCGGCGACGCTGGAGCAGCTGCATGCGTGGTGGCCCGTAAATTGGTTCGAGGCGGCGCCTCGTTGGACGCGGCATGTGCATGCGACCGTACGACGTCGGTTGACGCCATGGCGGCTGACAATATGCTATAGGTCGAGTGGGCGACACCGCACGAGCCGCTGGCGACGGTCGCGGGGTGGCCCTGCGATGTGCCACTGGCGATCACTGCGTACAACGTCGAGGACCCGCACAGTCTCGTGCTCAAGGTAGCCACCGCGCGAGTGACTGTATGTTGAGGTGTGATTAGATTTGTCTGCCGCATCAAGAGCCGCTGCAGTTGGAGCTCACGCCGCGCGACGTTAGCTGGGCGCATGCGAGTCTCTGGCGCGCGGCGATCAGCGCGTGCTGCGTCCCGATGGCCGTCACGGGGCTCGTGCACCTCGAGGTCGAACTCTGCATGCGCACACCCCGCGTCGCCCACATCGAGTCGTTCCTGCAGCCCATCAGCCCCGTGCTTCGCCTACCTCTCGCTGTCTCGCGGCCGGCGCAACGCCCGCCGATGCAGGCTCCGTACCCGCCAGCGTACGGCCCGCCCTAGACGACAAGGCTCGAAGCAACTAAGATGACTCATGGGTCAATAAAACCCATGGATGACTGAATATACGCCGAGTACAAGGCGATGGCGCAGCGCTGCTGGTGCATGGTTGGTGTCGGTGGTGCGTCCAAGACGCGGATATCGAAGGTACCGGCTGGACGGAGGCTCGTACTAGTGTATAGTACAGCGCAAGGTGGAGAGAAGCATCGTAGCGCTGGTCCGGTTGACGCAAGAAGAGTGTGCGAAGCGTCCTTGCGCTGTCGTGCTGCCACGAGGTCGCGTGGTAGAATAAAAATATTATTTAAAAAAAGTTGGAAAATTGCGTCGCCGCCACTGGTGAATCAAGGTTTTTGTATAGGTGGATCGCAGCAATAGCGTCATACAAAGGGGACTTTAATGGTTGCTTTTATGGTGCTTTTGGTATGTAAATGAATGCCGGAAGGCAGGGTTCCGGCCAGATGGGGCAATTCAAATTTCTGAATTTTCGTCGCGACGGACCCGCGGCCAAGGTCCTCGACGGTCGATCCTCCATGATGCAGTCGCAGCTCATGCGGGAGAAGCTGCTTCAGTGGCAGGAGCGAGAGAAGCAATGGCGCGAGCAGAAGCACCGGACCTTGAAGCCAGTGGCCGATATCCCCACCGCGAACGCCGGCCCAGCGCTAAGTTCCGGACCAGCCATGAGCATGACGAGCAGCTTCCTCGGAAGAAGCATCGCCAACAAGGAAAACGGTGGCCTCGAGCTTCTCACCTCCAAGAAGCGGCGGCTCACAGCTCTTCTTGGCCCGCCCGCTAGAGCCGAACGCGACCTCCAGCACGAGATGACCATGAAGCGGCCCAAACCCGCGTCGCCCTTCAAGGTGCACGTCGCTACATCCACCCACGAGGACTCACGCAGACACTAGAAAGAGGCAACGACGTCGTTCGACATCAAGGTCGATCAACCGACGGACGACATGGCTTCGTACGTGGCCCAGATGCAGGTTGGCCATGGCCTGTACACACAGCCATACCCACCATATCTGTAGGCGCTGACAAGGCAACTTTCGGCAGCAGTTGCCCAGGCTACTACAAGCCCATCTCCGCGGGAACGCGAGCTGCAGCGAGAAGTCGAGACGCTCCGAGCTGCCCACGAGGTACGCACCACGTGCGTCAACTGCATCATACATCCCGATACCTGTGCAGGCGGAGCTGGCGCGTCTTGCCGCGACCACCAAGGTCTGGCCCCATCCTTCTTCGTCGCCTGTTGATGCGTACGGTAGGAACAAGCAGCCGCCATCGCAGCCGTGCAGGAGGTGCGTCTTCGTCCTTCATCGAGCTACTCGTTGACGCACAAGTTTAGGAAAAGCACATGCTCCTCCAAGCCAAGTACAAGGTTCATCCTTCTGCCCTCCCATGCATCTCACTCGCCTCTTCGTCTGCAGGAGCTGGCCGTCAAGCACAACGCGATCAAAGAATATCTGGACGACGCCCATGGTGACGCGGGCGCGTCGGTGATGCCCATCTTCAACGACTTTGAAGCCAAGCTCCTGGAGGCCGACGGCGACGGCGAGCTCAGTGAGCTCTGCGTCCAGCTCAAGCGAGTGCGTTGACCTATTTGTAGTCGGCGGTCGTATCCTCTGGGACTAGGAAATACGCAAGTGTGTTCTCGTCGCCAAAGCCCGTGAAGAAGACAAGCACGAGCTTCTCTTCTCCAACCAAGTGTACCTTCAGCAGGTACTCCATCCCGCCGTAGCAAGCATGTCGGACTGCCTGCCATGTAGATCAACGAGCTCCAGCAAAAGTTGATCGCGACCCAGCGAGAGAACGCAGCGCTCCAGCACAAAGTACGTCGACGACGGCGACGTGTCGAGATGACCGCCTTGTGTAGGTGGACGAGAGCGCCAAGAAGAACCAAGAGCTCCTTGACGACGTCGAGCAGCTCAACTCGACGGTCGTCCCCGCCTTGGAGAAGGCCATGATGCAAAACCATGCGCTCAAGACGCAGCTGCACGCCCTCAAGGCGCAGACCTCGTCGTCCAGTTAGAGACTCTACTCTGTCGGCGGAGGTCATTCTGCACTTGTACATATATCTACTGGCGGTTCCGACCACCTCGGCAAGCAAGTCACTTGGGTTGAAGTTCCTGTTGACATGAGGGAAGGAGCAGCAACACTGGCTCTTCCTGCGGCTTTCCGGATTCGATTGGCTACTCGCACGCAACTTTACAACGCCATCCGTGTAAGTCGGGGAGTAGCGCCGCGTTGCGCACAGCGGCGTGTGCCTGACTCGAGCTGCGCACAAGAAATGATGGGAGGAGGTTCGTACCGCGCGCGGTGGCGCGTCCGTCTCTAGCGTGCAGGAATGCAAAGTGGCGTGTTTTTAACCTACGAGAACGCCATACATTGCCCTGTTTTATGTTGCATTGAAATAAATTTCCATCGAAAGCGTATCCGGATGTCGACGAACTGCTCTCGGCGAGTTCATTTGAGTCGTTCCGTCGCACCCACCATCGGCGCGGGGCCGCCATGTTCACCTTGACGAGCCAGAGCGACGGGCTTCGCCGGCTCTTCCAGCCGCGGGCGTCGGACGAGCAGCACCATGAGGTCTTGCGAACTGTCCAGGCGCAAATGCAGCTGCTAATGCGACTGCTCCGCCTCCGGCCGCTCTCGCCGGCGCTCGAGTGCCAGCCCGGCTGCGCTGTCACGGTCCATGGCATGGAGTTCTTTAACGAAATCGCGCATACAGACGCTACCGACGCGATGGCGCCGCCCACGTACCAGAAGGTGCTGGCCATCATTGACGAGCTCTTTGACTGCGTCGACCGCATCAACGCCGAAAAGCGCGTCGTTACAGACGCGGCCCTCCTCGAGTGCATCGCGTCGGCGCTCGTGGCCGTCGGCTTTGCGATGGCCAACAACATGATCAACGCCCATGTCAACACGCTCCTCCAAGACTCGACGTTCAACATTGCGGACACGCTCGTCTCGGAGGCGCTCTCGACGATGGAGTTTGGCCACCTGCATCCGTCGCACGTGCACCCGCTCGTGCCCTCGAATGGGTCGGTCGCCTTCCACACGGCGACGACCAGCAAAGCGTCGACGGCAACGTGGCAGTGCACCATCTGCCACCGCGCCGCGATCGTCAAGACGGACGTGGTGTACCGCTGCGCGGGCTGCAACGTCAATCTATGCAAAGAATGCTACACGCGGATTCCGACTGGCACCAAGACGCTACCGCCGGCCGCGCCGCACTACAAGCGCCGGCTCGTGACCGGGCTCTGGGCCTCGACCTTCGAGGCGCTCTGCAGCCGCAACCGTCCGTCGGCCGCGCTCGCGCTCGACACGGCGATGGCGCTCCGGCGACGCATGGCCGAGCTGCCGTTGACCGCCGGCGCCAACATGCTCCCGATCCTCGAGATGCTCGTCGAGATGCTCTCGTCGCGCACGTTTCGCGACGTGCTCGTGCGCTCGCAGCTCTGGCTGCCCGACATCATCAGCGGCAAGACCATGGAAGTGGCGTCGTTCCTCGGGCCGTTCTTTCGACACTGCAGCCTCCCGGACGACGCGGTGCCCGGCGACCTCCTCTGCGCGCACACGGACCAGACCAAAGCCAAGACCATGGCGCGCCTCCGCGAGACCAACGAACGCGTCCAAATGGCGCTCGTGTCGGTCGTCGACACGCTGCTGCGGCACGGCGGCGTCGTCACCGAGGCCATGCTGTGCTGGCTAACGTGCGCGATCGAGTCGAACGGCATTCGTCGGCGGCTCGGGCACTCGCCCGTCGAGTGCGCCTCGGACGGGTTCCTGACCAACCTCGCGGCCGTCGCGTTGCATTTTGCGGCCGAGACCCAGCCCTCGGAGATCGACGCGCGGTACCACGGCTACACGCTTGGCGGGCGCATCTCGATGGCCGACATGGCGCGCCTCGTCAAGACGCCCGCCACCTCCAAGGACGACGCGACGTGTGGTCGGGCGACTACGGCCGCGTCGTCGTACTACCCGTCGTACGAAGCCAACCTCGGCGTCGTGTGCGACCACTGCCAAGCGAAGGACTTTGTCGGCGTCCGGTACAAGTGCGGGTTCTGCGACGACTACGACCTCTGCGGCCACTGCTTTGAGCGCTTTTACGAGCAGAACCATGTTCTCCGGCACAGCCCCGACCACGCGTTCATTCGCATGTCGGTGCCCTTGCCCCAAGTCACGACGTGGCCGTTCCGCAAGTGCGCCGACCTTTTCGAGGGCGACGCGACGACCGACATCGACGAGTGCGCGTCGATGACGTGTGACGTCTGCGCCGTCACGATCACCGACCGCGGTTTCCAGTGCGGTGCGTGCGACCGGTTTGTGTGCGCGTCCTGCGTCGACGTCGAGGAGCAGCTCGCGATATCGCCCGGTCTCTTTGGCGACGCAAGCTTGAACCCGCACCGGCTGCACGCCCCGGGGCACCACTACTTTGTACTCCCGGCGACGCTCTGGCGGCACCGCCGACGCGTCCGGTTTGGCGGGGCACTGTACCCGCCGCCCTTTATCAGCGCGTTCCGCGACACTGACCGTCAAGTGACCGAGTGGTGGTACATGGCGCTCAAGGTGCTCCACGTCGGCCCCGTCCTCTCGATGATGCGATACGTCTCGGTGCACCGCGAGTACCAGCAGCTGAAAGCGCTCTGCAACATGGAGTCGCGCTCGCGGCAGCAGGGCGCGGCCGGCCGCCGGTCGTCGCGCTCGAGCCACAGCATGAACTTGAACGCCAACCACCTCCGCGTCGAAGAGCTCTTGAAGACGAAGACGGCGATGGAGGTCCAGCTCTTTGCGCCGAGCTTGCTCCAGGCTCTCTTTGGCTTTTACGCGCGCGTCTCGTCCTGGCTACTGCACTTAGCTGGCGTCGGGCCGCTGCACGCCGACTCGATGTGCCCGACCGACGTGCCTGCCGCCTACGCCGACGTGCCCGAGGCGTTCCTCTGCAACGTGGCCGACGTTGCGTATATCCTTGGCGTGCACCCGTGCGACGGCGTCGCGTGGACGTCCGAGATCTTGACGCCGTTGCTGACGCTGCTCTTTTTTGTGCTGTCGCATCGCCCGTTGACCAACTCGCCGCACGTCCGCGTCCAGCTCATCCGCGCGCTGCTCTCGCTCGCGCCGCTGACCAAGGACAACACGAGCCGCGCGCCGCCGCTGCTGTACGACCTCTTGTCGACGAATGCATTCCTGCGCGCGCAGGCGGTCTCGTGCCTCCTCTCCTGTCACAGCGACTTGGAGACGTATAGCTCGAGCACGGGCGGCGACACGTCGTGGGGGCTCTTGCCCGCGCGGCTCTCGACGACGCTCCTTCTGCGCTGGCTCTGGAACAACCAAGTGCAGCAACCGCGGATCATTGCGCAGCAAGATGCGCACAGCATGGTGCTGCTCTTCTCGGGCGTCCTCAACGACATCACGCGGCTCCTCGACGAAGCCTCGGTCAAGGTCACGGCCATGCGCCGGCTCCAAGAGCTCCAAGACTCGCCGCATACGACGACGGGCGCGTACTTTCAACCGTCGATGATGCAGAGCTACCTCGCACTGCACTTTAACAAGGCGCGGACGACGTTTCGCGTGCTCATCGAATGCCTCGAGCTCCTCGCGTGGATGGCGTCGGCGCCCGCCCTCCGCGCCGTCCTCTGTCGCCGGTCGCTGGTCGATCAAACCGCGACGACGCTCTGCTTTGTGGTCTCGTCGCTCGAGACGCAGCTGCACCCGACGCGGTGGGGCTTCTCGGGCGAGATCTTTCAGGACGGCATGCTCGCCCTTGCCGAAGCGCTACTGATTGTGGTGCGTTGCGCGGGGTACCACGCAACGTGCCCGGAGGCGTCGTCGTGGAAGCTCTCGAACTACGCCGGCATCCTCATGGAAGAGAAGATTGGGGACTTGGACGTGCACCAACGCTGGAAGCTCAGCTCGTGTCTCTTTCGTCTCGAGAAGGAGGCGATGGCGCCGCCGGCGCTCGAGCGCATGCCGTCGGACGACGAAGACGATGTGACGGATGACAGTGACGACGCAATGGACGAAGACGCGGCGCTCGCGCGCCTCGAACTCATGGCGGCCCACCGCCGGCAGCAAGCTGACGACGACCGCGCGCAGAAGCAGCTCTCACAGCGGTTCCTGGCGGCGCTGGCGGCCGACGGTCGCTTTGAGCCGGTGCGCTTCCGGCGGGCGGCCGTGCTGTTGCGCAGCGACCCGTCGCTGACCAACATGTGGCGCGACAAGTTTGTCGAAGTCGTAGATTACACGGAGACGCTTCTGCAGCGCCAGGCCGCGATGGAGACGCAGCTCGGGTCGGTGCCAGACGAGTACCTAGACCCGATTTTGCATACGCTCATGCTGCACCCGGTGCAGTTGCCGTCCGGCCACATTGTCGACCGGTCGATGATCGAGCGCCACTTGCTCTCGGCAAGCGTCAACCCGTTCAGCCGCGAACCGTTGACGATGGAGATGCTCCTGCCGTGCACGGAGCTCCAGGCGCAGATCCACCGGTTTGTGCGCCAAAAGCTGTCGCGGCCGCTGGCGACCGACGGCTCCGACGACGACTGGGGCCTCGGCTGGGACAGCCTCTTTGAGGCATCGCCCTAGTGTTTTATATATAAAAGATAGGATACCCAATGCAGCGCTACTTGTAGTATTATGTACATTTTGCTGTTAAGTCATAGCGACCCTGACATCATTCAATAGCCCTCGTGCGCACACCACTCGGACGCACGGGCTTGCTACGTTGAAGCGCGCCCTTAGACCATAGTGAATCCAGCATTGTTTGCCTCTCGACTCGCATCTTGCAGATTGGCTTGTAGCAGACGA